GCACAATGAGTCAAGCAACCACTTAGCTCGCTATAGCTATTTCGTACTCTGTACTCAAGTTCGTATAGATACATGACTCGACATACTCCGCACCTGGGCATACGAGTAGAACCAAGCCTCATCCGGCGGGCCTGCAGCTTTTGTCGGCGCACAACCAAAGAAGTGATATATTCACCGGCTCATGCGATCTTAAGACAGAGAGACAGGAGCCAAATACCAATGGCTTTAGGCTGTGGCTTGCTTCAGCATGTGCTCGTCGTTATAACATTGGAACATGAGGAGAAAATTGACTAACTAGCCAAGGGATTCTCAATCGGGTCAGAGGAGGGTTTACCAGGGAGCGTGCACTATGCATGATACTTGTCTAGTCTGAGAATCATGCACAGTGTCGACCCTGTCATAAATACTAGTATTTGAGGGCCCCATACCATTTCATCTGATTATGGACCCATCTGGCTAGATTTTTCATATTAAGATTTAGATCCCTTGTCAAATTGATCCCATAATTCCGCCATCATGAATACACGAAAAGAGAAACAGGACAAACCTATCCACTTCATACTCCCAGCCAAAAATGACACCTCAGGCAACGGTGCTCAGCTATCACCACGTGACGATAACCATCCGGGCTCCACCCTCGAAAAAATTCCCCAAGCCGAAGAGATACTCATTCTCGTCTGGCAGCTGCCATTGTCGGTTTAATACCCTGGGTTTTGTGGCTGATTACATTTTGGGAGGCCGACGAATTAAACAGCTGGGATTTTGACCCCTTTCATTTGTATCAACGGTCAAATATCCTGTGCCGTTCGACATCGCAAGTTTTTTCCTTATACCGCATCAGCCGTCTTCCAGAGCTGCAGGTTGAAAACCATGGCGCCCGCAGCCACCGATACGCAGTGGTCGGTCGACTACGACACCCTGCGACGGGAGAATCTGTTCAAGAACCCTCCCACAGATCAAACCGCCTACCCTTCGCTGGCCGAGTCTATCAAGCCGCACGTCGATTCTTTCAATGCTCTCTTCGAAGATAGCAAGATTTTGGAGGCAGGATTGAGGGATATCGGTACCAAGACCTTCCTGGATGGCGAGCTCGAGACCTTCGAGCAGAAGAAGGCTCGCCAAGCCGAGGGTATCCGTCAACCGAAGAGGAACCGCTTGAACGTCCGCGTTCGCGAGATCTTCCTCGAGAAGCCCACTCTCCCGCCCACAAACAAGTACACTACCCGCAACCGTGAAATCTACCCTTCCGAATGTCGAGAGCGCCATGCGACATACCGTGGTAAGCTCCGTGCTCGTCTCGAGTACCAGGTCAACAATGGAGATTGGATGGAGTCTGTCCGTGAGCTTGGTAATGTCCCAATCATGGTGCGCACCAACCGGTGTCATCTCGAGAAGGCGACCCCCGACGAGCTTGTGCGACACAAGGAAGAGTCCGAAGAATTGGGTGGTTTCTACATTGTGAACGGTAACGAGAAGCTGATTCGTATGCTGATTGTCGGCAAGCGAAACTATCCCATGTCCATCATTCGTGGTTCGTTCGTGAAGCGTGGTCAGACATACACCAAGTTTGGTGTGCAAATACGTTCCGTTCGTCCCGATCAAACGTCGCAGACCAATGTGCTGCACTACCTTGCTGATGGAAACGTCACTTTCCGTTTCTCGTGGCGCAAGAACGAGTACCTCATTCCCGTCATGATGATCCTTAAGGCTCTTGCCGAGACCAATGACCGCGAAATCTTTGAGGCCATTGTTGGTGGAGCTTCCTCCAAGGGTATGAACAACACCTTCGTCACGGACCGTGTCGAGCTTCTGTTGAGAACCTACCACGCCTACCAGAAGCACAGCCAGTACGACTGCCGATCTCACCTGGGCAAGGCCTTCCGACCTGTGCTCGGTGTTCCCGCTGACATGCCCGACGAGGAAGTTGGTACTGAATTCCTGCGCAAGGTCGTTCTCCCTCACCTTGGAAACGAGAATGTCACCGAGACCCAAGATTGGGACAAGTTCAAGATGATCACTTTCATGATCCGCAAGCTGTACTCCACAGTCGCCGGAGACTGTGCGCCAGACAACCCCGATGCCGTCTCCAACCAGGAAATTCTGCTTGGTGGCTTCCTCTACGGAATGATTCTCAAGGAACGTATCGAAGAATGGCTTCGATCTTTTGGACCCCTTGCGAGAGACTGGTGCATTCGCAACAACGGTGCCAAGTTTACCGATGAATCATTCGATCGCGACTTCTTACCCAAAATTGTGAAAAGGTCAAACGAAAACATCGGTAATGCACTTGAGTACTTCCTCTCTACTGGTAACCTGGTCAGTCCCACGGGTCTTGATTTGCAGCAAACCTCTGGTTACACTGTCATTGCCGAGAAGATCAACTTCTACCGATTCATCAGTCACTTCCGCATGATTCACCGTGGTAGTTTCTTCGCCCAGCTCAAGACTACTACTGTCCGTAAGCTGCTTCCAGAGAGTTGGGGTTTCCTTTGCCCCGTCCACACTCCTGATGGATCGCCTTGCGGTCTGCTCAATCACTTGTCGCACAAGTGTTTGATCTCTACGGATAACTTGGATGTTTCTCATCTGCCTCGAACTTTGGTTCAGCTCGGTGTCCGGTCCGAGTCTTCTGTGGCACTCGACGAGAGTGTGGTCGTCCAACTGGATGGTAGAATCATCGGTTACTGCTCACCAAAGCAGGCACAGAGAATCGCTGATACTGTTCGTTACTGGAAGGTCGAGCGCATGAATGACATTCCTCGCGAATTGGAAGTCGGATACATCCCCAACTCCAGCGGCGGTCAATACCCCGGTGTCTACATGTTCTCCCAATCCGCGAGAATGTTCCGCCCTGTCAAGTATCTGGCGAATGAAAAGCTCGACTACGTTGGTCCCTTCGAGCAGCCCTTCATGGAGATTGCTTGCTTGGAGTCTGACCTGATCCCCGGTCTTTCGACCCACATCGAGTACACCCCCACCAACATCCTCTCCATCGTCGCCAACATGACTCCCTTCTCCGACTACAACCAATCTCCCCGTAACATGTACCAGTGCCAGATGAGCAAGCAGACCATGGGTACTCCGGGTACATCGATTGCACACCGCACAGACAACAAGATGTACCGCATTCAAACTGGTCAAACACCAATTGTTCGCCCTCCTCTCTACAATGCCTACGGTCTGGACAACTTCCCCAACGGTATGAACGCCGTGGTAGCCATTATTTCCTACACCGGTTACGACATGGACGACGCTATGATTATCAACAAGTCCGCCCACGAGCGTGGCTTCGGTCACGGTACTGTCTACAAGACCAAGGTCCACACCCTCGCAGAAAACGATTCCAAGCGCTCAAGATCCAAGCGCGAAGTTACCAAGTTGTTTGGATTCGCCCCGGGTGACGAGGTTAAGGACCAGGTGCGCAACATCATTGACGAGGATGGAATGCCGCACATTGGTGCGCGCGTCAAGGAGGGTGACAAGATTGCTGCCTGGCACAATGTCCGCTTCGATCCTGCCTCTGACTCCTTTGTCAACGTCGACGGCATGACCCACTACATGAAGTACAAGGATGCCGAGGAAGGCTACATTGAGAGCATTCGCATCATGGGTTCAGAGAATGGAAACGAACCTGCTCAATCCCTCAGCGTGAAGTACCGTATTCCCCGAAAGCCCGTCATCGGTGATAAGTTCTCTTCTCGTCACGGTCAGAAGGGTGTCTTGTCGCAGCTTTGGCCCGCGACCGATATGCCATTCTCCGAAAGTGGCATGCAGCCCGATCTGATCATCAACCCTCACGCTTTCCCCTCTCGTAAGTCTTTATTCCCTTGGTTATCGTCACCCCCCAATTCCTTCCTAACCAATGAACAGGTATGACAATCGCCCAGATGATTGAGTCCATGGCCGGTAAGGCTGGTGCCATGCACGGTCTTCCTCAAGACTCCACGCCCTTCCAATTCTCCGAGGAGAACACTGCAACCGACTACTTCGGTGAGCAGCTCAAGAAGGCTGGTTACAACTACTACGGCAACGAGCCCCTGTACTCAGGTATCACGGGTCGCGAGTTCTCCGCAGACATCTACATGGGCCTTGTCTACTACCAGCGTCTCCGTCACATGGTGAACGACAAGTTCCAAGTGCGTACCACTGGTCCAGTCAACGCGCTGACCGGACAGCCCGTCAAGGGTCGTGCCAAGGGTGGTGGTATTCGTGTCGGAGAGATGGAGCGTGATTCTCTGATTGCCCACGGTGCCGCCTTCCTCCTCCAAGATCGTCTCATGAACTGTTCCGATGCCCAGCACACCTGGATCTGTCGCTGCTGCGGTTCCTTCCTGTCTACCCAGGTTGCCGTCTCGGGCTCATCCCGTTCCCGCGCCGCTGTCAACCCCGGTGCCCTCGCTGCTGCTGCCAAGGCCGCTCCAAACCAGCAGCGCAGCAATGCCCATGCTTCTGCTGCAGTTGGTGCGCTTGGCGGCATGGATGGTATCGTGCGTTGCCGTCGTTGTGCTCGTGAGGCTGTCTTCGATGACTCCCGTGCTGAGGTTTGGGAGGATGGTAATGGCCAGCGCTACGTTGGTGGTGACGATGTTACCATCGTTGCTGTGCCTGGTGTCCTCCGTTACCTCGATGTCGAGCTGGCTGCTATGGGTATCCGCATGAAGTTCTGGGTGGATAACTGATCCCAGCATCTGGACGACTATAAAATTGTTTTTGTTGTTACAATGTCATAGGTGGCGTATATTGGTTTAATGATTGACCTCATCTGTTCTTTTTAGATTCTCTTTGCAAATATTCTTTCTTGTACGGACAATCCTTCTATTACAATATAAGTGTTAAACAAAAGTCTTTCGTGAAATTTCGTAGCAAGTATTAGGGGCACTGTTCAGGGGTGATATTATCCTACGCACATCTACATTAAAGGTATCAAGTGAGTGATTATTAAAACACTGTTCATTTGTGCAACTATTGAATAAATACTCAAGTACAGTATACTGCTGCTCTCAGACAGATCCATCGCCCTTGAGCTCCTCCTGCACTAGACCTGTCTTTGCAGACGGGAATTCTCTAGTGCGCACCTTGTTCTCAAACAAGATGTCCAGCTCGGCGTAAGAGCGTCCCTTCGGCTCAGGGAGTCTAAAGAAAGACCAGACAAGACAGGTAATGCACAGTGCACCCCAAAAGAAACCAGACTTACCTCTCCAGTTCCACGCATCCACATTCAACATGTAAGGAATGATAATGCCTGTCACCAAATTGAGCACATTATACACATTTCGTGCCAGCACGACCGATTTGATCCGAAGCCTCGAAGAAGGAATCTCCGAAACCAGCGAGAAACACACCGGTCCAACAGTCGAGTCATAAACAAACGTATAAACAAGCAACATCGAGCCCGTAGCCCAGGAGATTGCCGAAGTCGACGGGGCAATGGAGACAAACCCAATGACAAGCAGCACAACACTCAACAACATAAGTCCACCCACATACAGCGTGCGTCGACCAAAGTATGTCATGAGAACCCATGAGCCCATAGTTCCCACAACCCCAATAGCATACTGCACCAACGACATAGTAAAAGACTGCGAAACAGCCAGTCCAGCACGCTGATAAAACACAGTCGAGTACCCCATCAATCCAGCACCACAGAGAGACTGCGCAGCCCAGACGCAGCATGCAATCTCCGTGCGCCGCAGATCCGTCCCCTTGAAGCAATCTAGATACGAAGTGCCTGTCTCAACGCGCTTTTCCAGCGCATTCGTATAAACAATCATCGAGACAGTTTCCTCTGCATTGAACCCAGGTGTATCCCGCGTGAGCCGTCGAACAGCCTTCACGGCGTCTTCGCGGCGGTCTTTTCGAACGAGCCACCATGGGCTCTCGGGTGCGAGATATACACCGATGAAGATGGGGATGGGCCAGACCCATTGAATAGCGAATGGAATCCGGTAGGCCCATTGGTCTGATCGCTCAGCTAGTCCCTTAAGCACACCTGAGGCAATGAGTTGCCCGAAGACCCAGCATAGGTTGACGTAGGTCGTTAGGTAGGCGCGCAGTGCAACGGGACAGACTTCCGACGCATAAGTGACTGTGAGAGTCTGGTAGACACCCAGGGGAATACCCATGAGCAACTCGCCAACGACGAGGGTTTGCACGTTTGGGGCGAAGAAGAGGATGAAGATGAAGCCGACTGTCGCGGCGAGACAGGCCATTAGGGTTCTGCGGTATCCGAAGCGCTCGGATACCAGACCATTGATGAAGAGACCGATAATTTGGCCGCATGACATTGCGTTTGTTAGGCCTGCTTGCCAGGAAGCGGCTAGACCGAAGGATCCGTCGGACATTTGTTGTCCGTATTTCTCGTTGAAGGCTGGGAACCCGAAGAATGAGCCTATGAGAACGACGTCGTAACCTTCCATGATAATTGCGCATGAGAGGAGGAGGGACCAGCCGACTGCCTTTGGGTAGAGCTTGAGGGCTTGCCAGGGGCCCATGTTGTGCTCTTTCTCAATTGTGGCGTGGGCTTCGGTGCTGGTCTTCAGGTCGGAGTGATCTGAGTGAACATGGCCCTCTGCCTCAGAGGCAATTGAATCATGTTTCTCGACATGCTCTGCCATGGCGGACTTCTCGGTCATGATTGCTGTGGACAGTCGAGCGTAGCGTCCGAATGGGATCTCAGACTGCGTTGTACAGTCTGAATAGAGAATAAATAGCTCATAATCTGGGTGTTGAAGGGAGATTATATACTTTATTTTGAGAATAGTGTTCATTCAGAGCGAGGGTCAAGACAGGGTTCCATTGGACACGGGCCCGACCGTCTCGTTTCAAGCGAGCTGGTGGCGGCAGAGTTCCCCCGGATTTTTGTTGATGTCCACAATCCCCGGATTCTCAGGGCCAATGGGGATTGGTTTAATGTCGGGCCATGAATCTGTGGCATGTGCAAGACCTGCACTTGGGCTCATCCTGGTTCTGCTCTCTCGTTCTTAGGGCTCTCTCTCTGGTCTCCAATTGCGGTTAGCGACCTCCTATGAAGAGTGCAATGTGATTGGCCAGAAGTCGGGCCGACGCTCGCTATTTCCCCTCATTCTTGGCTTTGGGGGCTTAAGGGGCGTTTTGTTTCTTGCTTTTGCGTTGATTTGTGTATTTGCATGCTTTCACGCTTGGATGTTTGGATGTTCGGGACGGAATAGCTATGAAGTTGACGAAATGTCTCTCATAGAGCTTGAAATAGGCCAAACGTGACCCGAAGTGGAACAGCCCTATACTTCTCGGTCCGACATCCAGTCAATCAGCATGTCAGCCCACATGTATGATTCGCGCATGAATCTGGACTCGATCGTCGAAAGATAGCGCATGGATGATGTGAAACTGGGCACATTGGGTATAATAGGGAGCTCGCCCGTCCCCCTCTAATTCATCTTCTTCGCCTGCATCGGTTTTCCCTCCATTTCCTATATACATCATGTCCCCCATTGCCGTGGGCGAAAAGTGGTGGAAGAATTCTATCATCTATCAAATATACCCCGCCAGCTTCAAAGATTCAAACGGTGATGGCATCGGAGACATTCAGGGCATTATTTCCTCCCTAGACTACATCTCAAGTCTTGGGGTGGATGTGATCTGGTTATGTCCCATGTATGACAGCCCACAGATTGATATGGGATACGATGTCGCCGATTACGAAAACGTATATCCCCCTTACGGAACAGTCCAGGATATGGAGGCTCTCATCGATGCATGCCACAGGCGAGGACTGCGAATCATCCTTGACCTGGTGGTGAATCATACCTCGGACCAGCACAAGTGGTTCAAAGAGTCACGCTCCTCCAAGACCAACCCCAAGCGGGACTGGTATATCTGGAAACCGGCGAAGTATGACGAGAATGGACAGCGCCAACCACCCAATAATTGGCGCAGCATTTTCGGAGGCAGCGCATGGGAATGGGACGAGCAGACGGAGGAATATTACCTCCACTTGTTTTGCGTCGAGCAGCCAGATGTCAACTGGGAGAATGCCGAGACCCGCAAGGCAATTTATGATTCTGCCATGGAGTTCTGGTTGCAAAAAGGTGTGGATGGCTTCCGTGTCGACACGGTGAACATGTACAGCAAGCATCCTGAGTATGCCAACGCACCTATTTTGGATCCCAAATCTAGCACCCAGCCTGCTTTCTCATTGTTCTGCAATGGTCCACGGATTCATGAGTACCTGGGGGAGATGAACGATATTCTCTCCAAATACGACGCGATGACAGTTGGGGAACTGCCCAACACACATACCTTGGAAGGAGTTTTGCGGTATGTGTCTGCGGCGGAGAATCAACTGAGCATGGTCTTCCAATTTGATCTCGTGGATCTTGGAATGGGAAAAGACTATAAATTCTTGACCACAATCCCGGGCTGGACTTTGCGAGACCTCAAAGCCGCCGTGAAGAGCGCACAAGATGTCATCAAGGGCACTGATGCCTGGACAACGGTGTTCATGGAGAACCACGACCAAGGCCGTTCCGTCAGCCGATTTGGATCTGACAAAACGCCCGAGCTGAGAGTTCGATCAGCAAAGATGCTAGCCATGATGCAAGGTACACTCTCGGGGACGCAGTTCATCTACCAGGGCCAAGAAATCGGAATGGTGAATGCACCCAAGGAATGGACTATTGACGAGTACAAAGACATCGACAGCCTCAACTACTACCATATGACTCGGCAGGTGACAAACAATGATCCTGTCGAGCTTGAAAAGGCCATGGTCTCGTTGCAACATCTTGCTCGGGATCATTCCAGGCTGCCCATGCAGTGGAATGCGGACGTGAATGCAGGATTCTCGTCCTCATCGGCGAAGCCATGGATGCGTCCACATGATAACTACCCAGATATCAATGTGAGCCTCCAGGAGAAAGACCAGGACTCTGTGCTCTCCTTCTGGAAGCAGATGAACCAGCTGCGCAAGGAGTATGCTGATCTCATGGTTTATGGGGAGTTTGAGATTCTCGACGAGGCGAATCAAAGCGTCTTTACTTTCACTAAAAAGAGCAAGAATCGCAGCTTGATTGTGATTCTTAATTTCTCGGAGACTGTTCAGCCGTTTGAGAAACCTGAGACTGACAGGGATTGGAAGTTGTTGGTTGGCAATGTGGAGGATCCCCAGGAGGCACTGCAAGCGTTTGAGGGGCGGGTCTTTTTGGCTTAGAGCATATACTGTGGTCATGCTATACCTACTTGAGTACTTCATACATGCAACTAGATGATCGCGTTGAATAAGACTGCATTTGATCTACAACTATTCATGAGTGGATCCCTATTTTCTTGCACGTGGACATCCTCACTTTATTCAGTCAAGCCTTCATTTCGTATAAGTTAATATAAATTAATCTAGCCTCTAAATTCATCAGACGCTGCGGAGAACAGCCCCGTGCCCTGAGAGTTCAATGCCAAGCCCTCGAACATCAAACGCGGGGGGAGAACTAACCATCTCGACAACTTCGGCAAATGACAAGCCCAACGTCTAAATCGCGAGTGCCAAAAGCATGTGAGCCTTGTAACAGGCGCAAAGTCCGCTGTAATGGCCAGCAACGATGTCAACAGTGCGAGCACCTCGATCTCCTCTGCACATACACGGAGAATCGCTCGGCGCGATCAAGAAAGCACACTCTGCGCCGGGGTGCCATAATATCAAACTACAAGAGCGGCACTCCAAAAACCACATCCTTGATACCGCTTCTTTCTCCAACAAGCCAACTCCCAGCTTCATACTTCGAAAGCCTACTCCCAGACTATATGTCCTCTGTATACCCGTTCAGCCCGATAATCACAGGCGCCGAAGTCCAGACCTCAATCAACAAAATGAATGAAAGAGAACATGCTGCGTTTATCTACGCCTTCACAGCAGTAACCCTCGACCTAACCCGTGCTTCCAAAAGCACTTCATCCCACTCAACATCCCAAATAGCAGATCTCATGCGCCAATCCGTGGACATCCAACAACCACTAGTGATAGGGTTCCGCCCCTCCATCCTCCGCGCAATGACAAGCATCTTCATCCAAATGTGTGCAATGAGCCTAGGTCACTATGATCTAGGCTTCTTCTACCTCCGCGAAGCAATCAGCATGATCCACATGCTTCGCATAACCGACAAGTCCGTCCTGGCAGGCCTGAGCACCCCAGAGCGAGCCCGTCGCCAACGTCTATACTGGCAATGTTTTATCCACGAGCGATTCATGTCAATCGTGTATTTTTCACCGGTGACGTTACCGCCAGCTCAATATCCAGAAGAAGATGCCACGGCGTCTGTGTCGATGGAGATTCAGCGCGGATGGACGCAGGTCATCAAGACATTTTGTATGCTTGATGCGAGTTTCATCAGTCTTTGGATTGGGGATCGGTCCCAGGTGACTGCGTCGTGGGTTGAAGGCAAGCATCGCGAGTTGGACGATGAATTGTGGGAGACGGAGGTGTCGACGTTGTCGGAGTTGCAGCAGGCTGATCTGGTGATTACCAGACAGTGGATGCGGACGTTGCTGTGGCAGATGGCTATGTCGAATTGTTTGCTTAGTTCGCATGCGTCGTGTCCGTCGTTGGAATTGGAAATGCCTTTGAAATTGTCCAGTCAGCTCAGGCAGTTTTTGACGAAGATCTCGCAGAATACTATCCGTGTGCATGGATCGTCGATGATTAGCAAGTTGCTGGAAGTCATCAATACTATTGCGGACGTGGTGATTCATGTGCCACAGGCTACAACGGAGGAGACGACGGAGAGGATCGATGATATTGTGTTTATGCAGAGCGTGGTGTTTTCGTTTCATAATTTGCAGGCCATGTCGAAGAGTATTCTGCTGGACAAGTTTCGGTTGATTCAAGGGAGGTTTCCGCATATTGAAATTGCTACGCAGTTGGCGGTTTAGCCAGGCCCTTTTTGGCCTGGTGTTGGCGTATCTCGACCAAGACGGGGCCTCATACTCTGATACATAATACGAGACCTACTTTCAAGTCAACACCATCTATAGATCCTGGCATCATATAAGTTTGAGTCCAACGTTATAACCAAAACACAATCCAGGCATATCAATATGAATATTACACTTTCATTCTACCGCACCCGTTTAAAGCGCAGACGTCACGTTGGAGAACTCGCCCTTCTCGAGCTTAGTCTTCCAGAAGATCGGGTTCATGTCATCGAATCCGTGGTGCACCCATCCTTCTTCCTTGACGTGGTACAGGTTAATGAAACCACCAGAGTAAGCATCACGGTGCATAGCAGCCAGGATAGCTCGGCGACCGAGGTTCAATGCCTCCTCCTCGGTCAGGTCGTACTTGTACTCGGCATCCAACACACCGTAGGCAAAAGTCTGACCAGATCCAACACAGAACAGGTTACCGGGGAGGCGGGTACCGTCGGAATCGATGTAGTACAGGGCGGGTCCTTCCTGGGGCGTCATCTAGAAAATCGTCAGTCTCCAAACTTTGTACTTTGAAGCCACAAATCATATGGTACATACACCTGCTAACATAGTTCCCATGCTGAGTCCGTATCCCTTGTAGGCGTAGGTGAGGTTGGCAAGGATTTTGGAAGCAGCCGCAACAGTGATACGGCGCTTGTGTCGGATTTCTGAGAAACGGTCAGCAATGGCCTACCAGGTGATATATCCACCTTTCAAGGCAATATTTGACATACCGTGCAGAGTGCACTGTTGACTCAAATAGCGCAGCCAATATTGACAATCCTGAATCACATCATCAGCAACCTTTTCCATCACCTTGGCCCGAACTAGCTGGAACTTACAGCAGCACCACCGGCCATTGTTCCCAGAAGACCTGGTGTGGGCTTATCCGACTTCTTGTCCTCGCCTCGGCTCAACCGCGACACAGGAATGACCTTCTTGACTGTTTGACTGGCGATCCAGTTTCCGGCTGTTGCTCGTGAATCGGTGCAAACAATCTATTCTAGTCAGCAGAGGTTCAGGCGTCACCCACAGGCTTTCCTGTGGATGAAATAAAGAAGAACGTACAATACCGCCTTGGAATCGGAAGGCGAGGGTTGTGGTTCCGTGGGCAAGCTTGATGGGACAGCTAGGGTTGGAGTGGTCATCGGTCATGGCACGCAGGAAAGCAGAGTGCTGTAATTGCAAATTGGTATTAGCCTATTTCCGTTGATTGATAGAAAGTGTCTCTGGCTGGCGGTGTTCTCCAACGGCGCAAGTTGGGTTGACGTCAAGACCGATGCATCTCCCCGAGCGAGATACCATCCAATTCAAAGGCTTTCTTTCCAAGTTTTCACGGAGAACTCACGTTGTCAACGGGAGGCAGGCTGAACTTCAGCGAGAGCGGAGGGACGCTCGCAGTGAGGTCCTGCTGCTCTTGCTCCGAGTACATCTCATTCTGATGAGGAGGGCGTGAGTATTGGGCGACAAGCTTATCCATGATGCGCTGGACTGAAATATAGCAAGATGGACGGATTAGACGTGCTGTAAAGGCGGAAAGGGGATTGTGGTGAGATAGACAAGTGATGAGTGAAGCTCCGCTGGAGCTCGGGTTTCCGCGTCACTCTGGCGCCTGCGGGTCACGTGCTGATTATAACAATTCAAATGTTGGAGACAGAATAGTTTGAACTCGTAACGAATATTAAGAAAATTATTGAATAACGACTTAATCGACTTATAATACAAAATTGGCAGATTTCCCGAGTATCAACTCCATTGCCGTTTCAGGACCAACGCCATCTGCCAAAACGCATGCACCAGGGGGTGCCCAATCTGGGTCGCAGACTATTACAAGAACGAGCTACTATATGGTCTTGACGGATCGAACAGACCGGAGGTTCAAATCATGATCTTGAAGATCACGCAGCGGGCTCAACCAGCATTTTAGCTGGGGGGGCACCGCTCTCCACAGGGGCAGTGACATTGTTAGTCTCGATTGCAGAGGCATCATCCAAAACATCAGACTCGTGCTCTTCCACGCCGCTGAGTCCATTGACGTGGCCTGAATGGGTGATTCCATTGATGTGAGAGGGAGAGTCACGACCGGCAGTTGAGGTGATGGGCTCGACAGTGGACTCCCATCCGCGGAGGTCATTCTCGGCATCCTCGAGAATCTGGCGGGCCTCGTGCTCGTGGTCGTATGCTAGACGGGCATCACCAGGCACGACAGGGCTGTCATCAATGTAGTTGAGCAGACGACGGGCGTGGCGGGCCAAGATGGTTTGCTTTTCAGCACGCTCGATCACAGCCGCCAAGTGGATATCATAAGCTTCCTTCAGCTTTTGTCGTGTCTGCAGTTGAATGAAAAGGTTAGCAAGAATGTTCTGCATCTATTGTTCTTTCCTCGGGGACCAAACGTGGGAGAAACGTACGATGTTGGACAATTGCGCCTCGGCAACCAAGTTCTGAGCCTCAGCCCTAACCAACTCATGCTCCAAAGTGACCAGGCGTGTGCTCGCCGGATCTTTGTACTTGAGCTTAGCGATCTCATCAGTGACCTTTTGGCGCTGATCGCGCGACGGCTGGACCGAGGCTTCCATGTTGCGGATCTGCTTCAGGATCCCGCGGTAGTCCTCGAGGTTCTGGGCAAAGACGTCTTCCTGCTCACCCATCTCCGCGAGCATCACGCCAAGCTTGTCGGAGATGTCGGAGATGTTGTCATCATCCGTTGCCTCACCCCACTCCGAGAGTTGGGCAGCAATAGAGGTGCGCTCACGACCAGCTGCTTCATGGGCGCCGATGGCAGAGTTCTCGCTCTTGATCAACTTGGTCATCTTCTTGCTGAGCTCAGGCGCCTGCATGCCGCGGAAAGTTGAGATGCTGAACCGGTGGCGGTTCGCAGGCGGCTCTTTGCGCGAGCGGAACGAGAGGTTGCGGTTCCTATAGTTCAATTAGCATTAGCGCTGCCGACTTCCAAATGTAGATATTTCGTACATTATGTAGATTATAGAGGATACAGAGAGTAAAATGAGAAGAAACTCGAGTGCAGAATCAAGAGAGGGAAGACTTGTCTGTTAAGGAGCGCCTTCCTATAGATGACGATGGTCCAAACCCTATTCGGTCGAGGAACCGCACGCCGGTTGACGTCATGACAGCGAGCTGAGATCACTTTTTCCCTTTCCGGTCACGATGCCAGGGTTTTCATGAGAACTATAGAAGAAAATTACGAGTATGACGGACTTGAGCTCAGGCGGGGTTGCACTTAACTACGTTTATCAGATGGAGTCTGCTAGTACCGAAGTAGGGCTCAGATCTATACAATTCTACGAATATTAGCGAGCCCTTGGTATAGGTCAGGTCTTTACGAGCTGTCGAACTTCCAGAGAGTGATTAAATATTCCTTTCTTCCCTCTAAGAAAGAACAAATATTGAAGGCCATGAGAAGACATTCCTCGTGGCCAATCTTATGGTACATCCCAGCTAAAGCATAGCGTTAAATCCAGGTTCCTGAAGCACAATGAAAATCCAAACTCCACAGGCAGAGCAAACGGTCCGCTATCATTCATAAACACAAGGCGCCTTCGTAGTCAAGATCTCGAGATAAACTAGGAGATATCATCGGGGTCGGGGTGGTGCGAGTGCTCATTGTCAGAGGCATGGAAGGCATCACCGAATGCTGAGTTCTCCAGGTCTGGCAGATCAAGTCCATCATGTTGCTCGCTATAAGCTGCCAGAGCATCTCCAGCGCTGTCGATATTGGTGAAGTCAAAGTCCCCACCGACAGCATGATCTTTGCTGTCGGCGTTCACCATGCCCCAGTCGCTAGACTGGCCATTGGGACCGCCGTGGAGCTGGTCACCCATATCCATTTCGACATCACCTGCCAGATCGGCGCCAGGAATTGGTTGTCCATTAACTGAGACGCCTGAAGGCAGACCACCACCGACACCGGGACTGCCGAACTGGTTAATCAGGTGAGAGTCGTCATGGTCCATTACCATGTCGTTAGTGAACGACTCAGGCTCGGGTTTATGCTCGGGTTCGATTTTCTCCAGCAAGCCACCCTTCTCGACGCAGGATACCTTGGGCTCGGCCACGATTTGCTTTTTCCATGCACCTTCCACTTCCCGAACAATATCGTCCACTCTGTACTTAGCCTTGTCTTCGATGAAATCCATTTGAGGAGTCTCCTCCTCTGTAGGGATGACAACGCGACCCTCCAGTCTCCAGATCTCCGGGCCCTTCTCGGTGGGGTCAGCAGCAGCTTCCCGAAGGCGCAGCTCAGATTCTTTCAGCAAGGAAGTGCGGTTGAACCGCTGCATACGACGTGCATGCTGCTTCTTAAGGTTTTCTATCTCAGCGGTCATGTCTGCGACCTTTTTCGACACACGCTCTGCGAACTCTTCCGCCTTGGCAGGTTCCATCTTGGTGGCATTGGGAGCATCGCCTGCTTCTTGTCCCTCTCCGCCCGAGGTTCCAACGGGGGCGTCAAAGAATCCTGCAGTCAAGGATTCAAGCTCCCCTTTACGGCCCAGACCCAGGGAGACTGGCGTAATTTGTGAGATGCTGTATGGGGATGCGAAGATCTCCTCCATCCACTCGTGGTGTTGCTGGTAGCGCATTTTGCTAACGTCGCGGGGCGTGAGCAAATCCATTGTGTCGCCGCTGGACACATCCTCGTCTTCAGTGGCGAAGTCTGCAGTCGCTGAAGCGAGGGCGGACGACGGCGCACGGTGGCCGCGTGGGCCTTTAGCTGCAGCCACGTTAGGTGGGACGGCACCCGGGTGACCCTGAGGAGGGTAGAAGCCGGGTGCACGGGGCTGGGCATTAGGATAAGCACCAGGCTGGGCAAAGTTTTGGGGCGCCATTTGGGGGAAGTTGATGACTGGCCAGCTGTTTCGGTCGTGAAGCAAGAAGTCCTTGCGGGCCAATTGTCCTTGGCTCTGCAGGAAGCGGCGCTGGCCCATGACCGCTTGGATCTGGGGGCTGATGGGAATGCGGTTTGCGGGAGCATGGTCTTGGGGAGATGCGCGCGAGTAGTGGACGATCCAGAGCGATGGGTCGGGTTGGGGGGCATTAGGGATCTTGCAGGAGGTGATGCGGTAGCGCTTGCGGCAGTGAGTTGCAACTGGCTCATTGGGAGGGTGGAAACCACTGCGGTGGAGGTACATCTCGACAGACTAGTCTCATATGTTAGAGGACAATTGAGCTTCAGGCGACAGCTTGAGAGGAGAGCATACATATCCGCGAGCTTCAAAGGTAAAAACCTGCTCTTGATCTGCCCAGAAATATCCATCGCTAGCAAAGTTATTTCCGAGGTGGTTTAATGGCTGCCAGGTGAGCATGACTGTTCCATCTGGGGGACCGTCGAGAAAGGTCCAGTGCATTGGTTGCGTTTGGCAAACCCGGGGGGCGCTGGTCAGATATTCGACGGCAGTCTCGGTGGGCATCATATGCATGCTAGGGTATCGATTGCGCGACACCAAATGCATGTGAGGCAGCTATAAGAATCCGAGGTCAGTTAACAATGCAATGATGCGATAGCAACTGCGACCTTACCAGCTGCTGCGGGATGCGGGTGGCGGGGTCGTCCATATTGGGCGCCTGATTGCCGAGTACAATCAATTATTGGTGAATATGGGATGTTGGGTTGGGAGCAAGCAACTCAATTGCGATAGAAAGATAGACGGGGCGCAATGATGGGGTGGTCTACTTGAACGCGACACTAACGACGCGGGAGATTTTTGATACGGCGCGTGCGACAGACCACATGTGCTAGACACCTTTATTGTCAGGCATCAACTTTAGTTTCACTCTTGTCGTCGTGGAATCCCTTACATTGGGGCATCCATCTGATGAGAACTCAAATTATGGACCAAAGCTGCTCTATTGATTGATCTCAAGTAAGCTTGTGACATATTGAAGCCATTGTACTAACCCAATCTTGAAACAACAAATCTCCAATTATGAGCCCTCAGCAGCCATATACATCTGAGCCGTGTGGTGCCCCTACTCTGGATTCAGCACAGTCTTCATGGAACATGCGGCTTGTGCCGCTCTCTGATTCAGCAAAAGGCTTTATTGTCTTCTGTGTCATAGCTACTTGTATGTATCAATGCGATCAATGAACTGCCCAGACACGATGACTCCACTATTCGCCAAACCCGCACACTTTATTCCACCTCTCGTTCTCCCCATTCGCCTCTGACCTCTCCACTTGGATCTCGGAGATTCGTCACCACCTCCGGGTGTGGAGGCACGCCCAATTATGGATATCAATAGTCAATAGTACCGCCAATTGCAATGTGACCTCGAGCCGAGCTGAATTGCGGCTTGCTGATCATAGCTTGTTTCCTTGTCTCTGACGCATTTTGTCTCTCTTCCATTTCACCTCACCCTTCACACCCCTAAACCGGCAGCATGGGCAAAAGCGACCCTCCTGAGGATGTAATACAGCCAGCCCCTGATGAAGATGTTGAGAAGTTCACCCTTCCCGCACACCAGGAAAAACGACCTAGCACCACAAATGAGACGATCGATCCCGAAATGGAGCGGCGAGTCGTGAGGAAATTGGATTGGCATCTTCCGACTTTGATGGCCTTTTTCTGTATGCCTTGAACATCCAGCGCAACGCATGCCATGCGAGACCAGACACTGACAATTCCTGTTCCCTAGATCTTCTCGCTGCTCTTGACCGAAGTAACATCGGGTTCGTTTCCAATGCCCCAAATAAATCTGCGCGCGCGAACATAGCTGACTCGGCTCTATTCTAGAAATGCCAAAATCGCCGGAATGGAACAGGACCTCGGCCTCGATTCGAAGAGCTACGCCTGGCTCCTGACCATCTTCTACATTTCATACACAGTCTTCGAGGTCTTCGGTTTGATGTGGAAAGTCGTCAAACCGCACCAATGGGCCGCTTTTACGGTATTCTCATGGTATGCATTTCACGCGCAATGCGGGTTGGACAGCACACAGCGCGTGGGAACTATGACTGACAGGTGGTAGGGGTTTGGTCTCAACGTGTCAAGCTGTGACAACGAATTGGCAAGGCATGATGGCACTGCGCTTCTTAATGGGTGCTTTCGAGGCTGGCTTCGGCCCCGGTGTCGTCTACCTGATGTCGTTCTTCTACCGCCGCCACGAGCTGGGTCTCCGGTGCGGTTTCTATGCCGGGGCTGCGCCATTGGCAAACACATTTGCCGGAGCCCTGGCTTACGGCATTACCTCCGGACATGCTGCAATTGCGAGCTGGAGGGTACTGTTCCTCGTCGAAGGAATACCAGTCTGTGCAGCTGCTCTTCTGGCATATTTCTTTGTGCCAGATAGCGCGCAGACCGCTAAGTTCCTGACAGACGAGGAAAAAGAGGTTGCGCGTGCGCGTTCACTGCAGCAGGCTGGTGAGCCGGAGCGCGCAGGAAAGATTCAATGGAAGGAATTGGGGGAGACGCTTCTCGATGTGAAAGCTTGGCTTACAGCAGTAAGTTGATTATCCCCACATTCTGAACCCTCGTTTTGCTGATCTCAATCGCGTGACTAGTTTATGTATTTTAGCTGTAACGTCAGCTTCTCTTCGCTCCCCGTTTTCTTGCCGACCATCTTGAAGGAAATGGGCTTCACCGCGATCAACGCCCAGGGTCTTACTGCCCCTCCTTTCTTTGCTTCATTTTTGGCTACCATTGCGACCACTTGGGTGGCGGATCGTACGCAGCAGCGTGGACTGACGATCTTTGGTTTATCAGTGGTTGGTGGCGTGGGGTATATCCTCTGCGCGACTTGCACATCAGTGGGTGCACGGTATTTTGGTGTCTTTTTAGCGGCCTGTGGAGTCTTCCCCTGTATCGCCAACATTCTTCCATGGGTTTTGAGTGAGTCATCCTCCTGGTTCCCATGAGCATCTTTTTACTAATTGCATCTTCTTTAGACAATCAGGGCTCCGATACCCGCCGTGGTGGGGGCATTGTACTGCTCAACATCATCGGCCAGTGTGGCCCATTCCTGGGCACCAATGTCTTTCCTGACAGTGAAGCTCCACGTTTTGTGAAAGGCATGTCAATCTGTGCTGCATTCATGTTCTTCACGGCATTCCTTGCTCTGTGTTTGCGCGTGTTGCTTATTTTTGAGAACCGGGGCCTCGAGAAAAAGTACGGGCCCCGCACCGATGATCCAAAGTCTACTGATGCTTCAGTGGCGGAGGACAATTACGGTGCCAATTTCCGTTATGTTTTGTGACGAGCCTTTCACCTTTATATATGACTATCACTGGTATTATACGAGTACCCATGAGGACGAGTACACATCGACCGGAACAATCGTTGATAACTGGTATGATGTCACGAGCTCAATGGCCCAGAACCAGAGTAAAATAGACCTAATTGATGACCTTGAGATACAATTGCAATTACCAAACTTCGACCTAAGTGGGCCTAGCTTATTCCGATCGTTTGTGTACGAGTACTCGTGTTCGTCAAACAACCAACGTTCGGTGCGCACAGTCCACAAACTGTCACACATGTGAATGTGCACCAACACAACACTAACTTGACAGTGATCCCACGACCTTCAATGAATTAATTGACTCTGTCAGAACTATCCAGTGGCTACCTTTTTCATGTATCTCTTGTTGGCGAAGGATTCCCTGCGTGGGGCTAGAAGCCAGAAGCCGGGGCAGAAGGCTCCGGGCCACTCATAGTGTGGGTAAAGAGCCAAAGCTACTGGTAGAACGTCAGAACTGTTGTAAGTCTGTGTGATCTGCAATTCAATTCGTACAACGCAACTCTCACCGGGCAAATCAACTCACCGGAAACCGGAGAGAGTCGGAATGTATGACATCGAATGGTGGGGTCTGGACATCAACTCGCATATAAGGTTGCCCCTCTACCTTCCTCTCTTCTCTTCTTCTTCTTCTTCTCTACACATCTTTCATACTACTTCAAACAACTGTAACTATTCGCCATTACTTAAAAATTGGCAGGGCTGACCATCATCTAGATCCCAAACGGAAAAGTACATACTGCCCTTCCTTTGGGAGCCATGGACACTCTTTGGCTGGGCAATTTATCCCTCAGGGATCAAGGTATCTCAGGTAACTTCTGGGTGTGAGCCGGTGTTCGTTCTCGTGTTGGTGATGCCTCGAAGATGGACTAGCTTCATCTAGACGGCGTCATTGACACGGGTTCGTTCTGAGATTATACGGCTTTCAACTTGATCTGGATAATACCAGCGAAAGGATCATGCCCTCCCCTTCCCCCTTCCAAATGTCGAGTTGCCAAACTAACCAAGCACTCAAGTTTTCTAAACTTGATCCTTGACCCATTATGTCTCCTCCTGCTGCCATGTTTGAGCCCGTGACTGTTGCCCCTACCGGCATCAAGGGCAAGGTCAACGTCCCTGAGACTGCGACCACCACCCTGACCGGTCAGGGCCAGTCCAAGCTCTTGGAACAGTTTGGTGGCAAGTGGGATGAGTTCAAGTTCGCCCCTATCCGCGAGAGCCAGGTCTCTCGCGCCATGACTCGCCGGTACTTCCAGGACCTGGACAACTACGCCGAGAGCGATGTTGTCATCGTCGGTGCTGGCTCCTGTGGTCTGAGCACTGCCTACGTGCTGGCCAAGGCCCGTCCGGACCTGAAGATTGCCATCCTGGAGGCCTCCGTGTCACCCGGTTAGTCATATCCGCGGGAGATCCGTAGTTACTCCCTTCGGACATCCACTAACATGCAATATAGGTGGTGGTGCCTGGCTGGGTGGCCAGCTCTTCAGTGCCATGGTTCTCCGCCGCCCTGCGGATGCTTTCCTGACTGAGCTTGGTGTCCCCTACGAGGAGGAGCCCAACAACCCCAACTTCGTCGTCGTCAAGCACGCTGCACAGTTCACCTCCACTCTGTTGTCGAAGGTTCTCTCCTTCCCCAACGTCAAGCTCTTCAACGCTACTTGTGTCGAGGACCTGATCACCCGTCCTGACGGTGATGCCATCCGTCTCGCTGGTGTCGTTGTCAACTGGACTCTCGTGACCCTGCACCACGATGACCACTCCTGCATGGACCCCAACACCATCAACGCCCCCATCATTGTCAGCACCACTGGCCACGATGGACCATTCGGTGCTTTCTGCGCCAAGCGTCTGGTGTCCATGAACTCCATCGAGAAGCTCGGTGGCATGCGTGGTCTTGACATGAACGCTGCTGAGGATGCTATCGTCAAGAACACCCGTGAGGTCGCCAAGGGTCTCATCATCGGTGGTATGGAGCTGTCTGAAATCGATGGCTTCAACCGCATGGGCCCTACTTTCGGCGCTATGGTTATGAGCGGTGTTAAGGCTGCCGAGGAGACTCTGCGTGTCTTTGACACCCGCAAGCGCGAGTGTGCTGAGTAAAATCGTGCACTTACGCATCAAACCAATGTTCTTTTTGCTTGCTGGGTAGTTGGCCTAGCTTTATGATGATGATCGTTCAACAAATGCACTACTCTCGTTTTGTGCACTCTATCGCGCACTCGTAGATTGAAGTAGGATCGTATTAAATATTAGATCTGGTAGCAGTGCTTGGAATAAACATAGCTATATGGCATATGCACCGATATCATACAATAATTCGTTATGATGCAATCAGTAAGCCACCCACATTGTGTTCAGGTGCTTTTTAAAAGGGTGTTCTCCCACCTGGGCATGTTTCATCGCCGCATGAGAGCAAACGGTCCGTTAATCCTCGCGATCTCCCTCGACTTTGGCCGAAGAACTGCCCTCGGCAGCTATCACCAGTCTCTGCGCATTTCGTACCTCCCACTCAAACTCTTTCAAGGCACGAAGTTCACTCGACATGAATAATCCCCCAATCAAGCCGTCCAAGACTCCAGCAGCGAAATTCAGAGTGCTGATCAAGATGAGCAGGAACCCGATGTACGTGCGGTTGCCGACAAACCACACCCCCACCATACAACCGATTGAGATAAAGATTGATGCAATGAAATGCGCCATGCGCCAGCGGCGCTGTGAGCGCTCTCGATCAACATACTTGTGTGTCATCTCAACGATATGGTCGTAGGTCTCAGGGGACAGCGCGGCATTAGGGGAGAATTGTTTAGAAGATGTTGTGTGAAGGGTAGGAGAGTTTGGAGAAACCGGTGCCGAGTCGGAATCAGACTCGGGGTGAGGCTGTTTAAGTCCCGTTGAAGATCGTGTAATGACAGCTTCTACAGCAAAGTGATCACTCAATGAACAAAGGAGGGTCGGATGGCGCTGTGTCATAGAAACTTCAACAGATTCAACGGACCAACGTGGTGATGGGAACGTAGGTGGGTAGCCACCATCACCAACGAAGATGTAGTCTAGACGCTTTCCACGTGGGTCCGGGGTATCTTTGTCAATCACAATATCTTCTCCCTTGGTCAGACGCTTGCGCATATTCTCAGACCAGCGCCATGTATTGAACGACCCATCACAGGTGGCTCCATTCTCGGAGAGATTAAACTCTGCAGTGGGAATGGGCTTGTTGCGAGCCTTTTCGACGGGATCAATTGCTGCCGCGAGCGAGGAATCAGGATGGATCTCGCGCCAGGCATCCCGCACAGGGCTCTGGGCCGTGATGAGGCGGTGGGCGAAAGAAGAAGGCAGCATATTGAAGTCACCCAGACCGAGGACAAGATGACCACGCTCAGCAGCGCCTCGCATCAGCTTTGAGATTTCCCATGCCTGTGCGGTGCGATGGCATATATAGGAGTCGTTTGGTTCGCGCTCGTACGGGGCGTGTAAATGTGTACAGAACACTTCTGCCACGTCGGCTGTTCCAGGGCCAAATCTGACTCTTGCAGAGGCAACGCCTTTGCCTACGAACCAGTCGCCGCGGAAGAATGCTGTTGGCCGGCCGTTCAATGGGTATCCGAACATGCTGCTCTCCTCGATCGGCCATTTGGACAGAATTGCCAATCCCGCACCGAATATTCCTCCATAATAAAACTTCCCGTATGGTAGTATGTGTCTGGTTTGGTCGCGGATGCTCTCGAAGTCTTTCTGTGTCCAACACTCTTGTAGCCCGACTATCTCTGGTGGCGGGCTGGCAAATGCCAGCTGCCGCCCGATCTCCGACATGCGTTCATGGCGGTACTTGGCAATATATTTCAAGCCCCAGCAGTTGAGAGTAAGAATGCGAATATGGCTCGGTGCTTCAGATGGGATTGAAGAAGACATTGAGCCTGGTTTTGGCCTGAAGAAACTCCACCGTCTCGGACAGTGTAGAGTTGCGGCCATGATGTAATTTTCGAGCTTTATATACGGTCATGTGATAGGATATGCAGATACAGTTCAGTCCGTTAAGAACATATACACATATGTTTATATGCTCAGTCTAAGTACTGTATTATGATTGATCAAATCCTCATCATTTTTACAGTCTAAATATCCATCAATATGACCAGCAACAAAGCAAAAACACATGTTTTGATATGACGCAGACGGGACTGACCGCCTTGTACACCGCCTTAATAATTCACTCGTTTTAATGATTTTCGCATCGCATTGCTGTACATTTGATGTTGTTCACCCTTTTGGTCCAACCTGACTTGCTCCGTTGATTCTTTCCGGAGACAATGAGCCGCTCAAACTCTCAGATTCGTCGGCGGGAGCCTCGCGACCAATCGCCCGCCGACTCTTCCTCCGACGAACTCGCCGCGGGCTCCGATCACGATGAAGCCGAACGCCGTCGAGCTAGCTGGACTTTGCAAAAGGGCTTCACCCCCCAGCGTCCCCAAAAGTCTGGGCGCTCCTATAGTGATTCTGAGAGTTCTGATGAGCTTGCTGTCGATGCCGGCGAATACTGGCGTTCCTCGCGCAAACGCAATGATCACCGAAGCCCATCACCCATCACACGCACTAGCAGCCAAGACGGCTCCCAGCGTGGATTAAATACCCCCCAAGATGACGATATCTCTGGCCCAGATACACAGGCACACGATGCCGACGAATGGACGGGTCGTGCCTCTACGCCTGTCCCTCCCCCACCACCTTCCAAGCCGGACCATCTGAATTATAAGGAGAAATTTGTCTTGCGCGGCCACTTGTGTGGTGTGTCTCAGGTTCAATTCTCGCCGGATTGCACCATGATTGCCAGTGCTGGTATGTTGCACGTTCTAATTGGTGCAATTGGACAGCAAGCTAACTCGTGGCTATGACAGGTGCTGATGCGGCTGTTAAGATTTGGGATACTGCGAGTGGTAGACTCATTCACACTTTCGAGGGACACCTTGCAGGTGTTTCAACTCTTGCGTGGGCGCCTGATGGCGAGTGGATTGCCACTGGTTCCGACGACAAGACGATCCGTCTGTGGAATGTCAACACTGTAAGGGCTTCATCTGCTTCTTTTCATTTCGTTCTCGAGGGCCTTTGACTAACTCAGATATAGCTTAAAGCACACACCAAGATCTTCGATGGTCATCACAACTACATTTACCAGATTGCTTTCGCGCCAAAGGGTAATATTCTTGTCAGTGGCTCATATGACGAGGCCGTATTCATGTGGGATGTTCGCCGAGCCCAGGTGATGCGTTCTTTGCCAGCTCACTCCGATCCGGTCGCCGGTATTGATGTTGTACACGACGGAACTCTCATTGCATCATGCGCTTTGGATGGTCTCATTCGTATATGGGACACCCACAGTGGCCAGTGTCTGCGCACCCTAGTCATGGAAGACAACCCACCGGCGACTTGTGTCAAGTTCTCTCCGAACGGCAAGTATGTACTAGCCTGGACTCTAGATGGCTGCGTCCGGATGTGGAACTACGTCGAAAGTCGCGTTCTCAAAACTTTCCAGGGCCACGTCAATAATAAATACAGCTTATCGGGAGCCTTTGGTCTCTACGGGCCCTCCGATACAAAGTTCAATGTCCCTCTGTGCTTCGCTGTGAGCGGCAGTGAAGATGGAGCCATTCTTTTCTGGGATATTGTCAGCAAGAAAGTCCTGCAGCGCCTCGATGCTCATCAAGATGCTGTGCTTTCCGTCCACACAGGAAATCTGAAGGGCAAGCGCATGGTTGTGAGCTGTGGGTTGGACAAAACGATCCGTGTCTTCGAAGAGACCAGCGAAGCTGACGCCGAGGGTGACGGTGACTCTACCCCTGTTCCCGAGGCGCGCGCGCAGAACGATACTCCTATACATGATGCCGAGGGCGACAATGCTATGACCGATGCTGATGCCGATGTATCCGCTGTGCCTTCTACTACCGAGACCCCGGCGGAGACCCCGGTCGAAGAAGATGTGACGATGACATGAGCTTATCTATTCGATTTCTGAAACGATTTCTTTTCTTTTTGCATGGGCGGTTGCTTTTCGGGACAAGGAAATTAAATACCCCGGTGTCTGGTGTCGTCCGAATATAGGACAATTTGTGTTTTCCCCCGCTGCTATTCGATCTGGGGGTTTATTTTGCTCTTGACTTCCAAGGTTCTAACATCATATCATCTTCAATGGCCGATATTTTCCCTGGCTGTTGCATGGTTCGCCTATGTTATTTAATTACGAGACAGTGGGAAATAACATCGAGCCTTGACTACATTCTGTCCCCACCTGGGCAGTAAAGAGTAGCAATGACTCCAGCAGTACAGAATAGGCTCTCCATATTTCATTACTTTCTGGTATATGCGCTTACGGGGCTCGCTACTTAGGTAAAGTTACATGCTGACTTCGGCATGATTCTGTGCCTGCCTAGGTCTAATCGTTCCTTCCCCATTCCTGCTACCTTCTCTTCGTCGATACTTTCAATAGGGACCCTTCGTGACTTGATATTTGCCTGAGCACAAATACTCTCTTCAATGCAGGCAAATTCTATGGTCAAGATTTCTCAATCTAACTGGTGCCATGCACTCCAGAAACATGGAGAGCGTGAGAAAATCGCCCAAGGATCGCTGCAAGCGTTCCTTGGTCATCTCCCAGCTGCCGGCCGGAGTGCTATTGCGCAAGATATTATCGGACTAAAAGACGACAATGGGATCTTTGAATACTTCCGCAATCTATACACCGGGCTGAGAACACGGAGTGAGTTCTTAAAGTCAATTTTGAAAAAGCCCTGGCTAACAGGCTCACTCGGAATAGTGCAAGCTCGATCTAGGATGCCTTCAGTTGCAGGATCTCCCACTGAGCGACGAGACGTGCACGCGGATCAGATGTCAACAACCTTAACCGAGCCGATGAACCGGGAGAGAGAGTTTAGAGATGGCCTACTCAAACTCGATAATTACCGATGCGTTCTTACTCGGGACATGGATATAGCGCACTGGAAAAAAAATCGGTTCTCCGGAAGATATTGAGGATCTCGGGACTACGGAAGGTGCACATATCATTCCTTTTTCATTCGCATCTTGCGACTCGAGACAGGTAAGTCCTCGGATCTTCTTTAAGACCGAACTACTCACAGACTTAAGCACAACCTCTTACCGGATGTATCGCGCGCATGGGAGGTTCTCTGGCGCTGTTTCCGTGGAACTTACCATTGTGACCCTTCATCTCTGGCTAAGTCGGGCGGTCAGTGTGCTAAGTGTGGCTGCGAAAGAAAGTGGTGAGTATAATCTTTGTGTAGGATAGTGCACATGTCAAAGCTTGAGGTAGAATTCTAACTTGGTCTGTTTAGGAACACGGCAGCATACAATGAGTCGATGATACTTGGCTTGATTAGGACCATTGGCTTCAGCCACGAGAACATTGATGGTCTATGCAATGGTCTTACCCTTACAAACTGGGTACATCAACACTTTGGCGCATTTCGAATTGCGTTTGAATATCAAAGAACTGAGACCAGAACTGTTCACCACAAGCGACGATCTGAACAACACTTTCTCACTCTATCGTCAACTTTTCCAACGCAGGAGTACATGTCAACAGTTTCTGGCCATCAGTCACATCCCGCCTTCAAAAATCAAACACGCATTTGGGCGCTACTCGAGGTCAGGGGCCGAAAGCGACAACTTGGCTGTCCGGAGTGTTCCGTACCCCGTTGAAATCGCTAGTTTTCGGGGGGGAGGCTTATGTTCTAATATTGCTTCGCTTCGCTCCGCGATAACTCTTGTTCGACTCTTTGGAATATTCTCTTGGATACTCTCTTGGATACTCTCTCATAGGCAAATTCTATGGTCAAACTTTCTAGATCTACCCCTCAATCTAGAATTATTGTGTAGAGACGGCGAGCAAAGCGACAAGCGTCTGAAGGTCGGGCCGCTGTATCCTATTTCTTCACATCATCGCCAACAAATTTGCTCAATCCGACGACCCGCGCACAAATAGCTTCAATACTGTCAGAGCCAACAATGTCCAAAACAGGTATGTCTGCTCCAACATCCTTCGCCATCCAGGATCGGAATTCAACTGCAACCAACGAGTCAACCCCGTAGTCACTAAGCTTTTTGGTGGCATCCACATCTGTCGACTCAATAGAAAGCATGTTCGACAGCTTGTTTTGAATGGCATTCAAGATCGTATCTTTTGCCGCATTGACCGACTCCGCGCGCTTCAATTGTTCCGAAGTCGAATCATGGATGTCTCCATGGGAAACGGCATGATCACCGCTGCTGGCTTGATCTTGATGCACACGAGATTCACCACGGACATGGGTCCAAAGTGCATGCCGCGCGTAACTAGGGATTTCAGTATCGTTCTTCTGTGGTTGTAAGATCTCCACTGTATCCAGTCCGAGAACAATTTGATGAGCCCCCGGGTGATCGAGAGGGGAGTTGTCCGGAAGAAGACAGTATTCCAAAGCCTGGAAGATATCTTCCTCGCTGAGTCCGTCCATTTTTGCTGACAGATGTGAGTCAAGGTTTCGCTTCGACGTGAGATTCTCTGCTACGTATCCCGCTGATGTGACCACGCCTAGGTCTATACTGAAGGTCGGCATGCCAAGCTCAGAACGATATCGTGCAAGCTCATCTTGGTAGGTATTACCGGCTGCGTAGTTTCCTTGGCCTCTGTTTCCCATGATACCACAGACCGATGAGAGCATAACAAAGAAGTTTAAATCTTGGGGGAGAATACAGTGGAGATTCCATGATCCTTGGGTTTTTGGGGAGACAGCAGCATTGAAATCATCCAATGTCATGGTTGACAGGCTTGCATCCTGCCAATCAGTCAGTATATTCACTCATACACTCTAGCACAAAAGCATCAGATGAAATATCAATTCATAATACATACTCTGAGTTGCATCGCAGCTTGGATACACCCTCTGATAGGTGGTAAATGGGAGACACTTTGGATGGCCGTGTGAAGACTATCGGAGTCTGTAATATCGCATCGCACCATTATAGCAGTGCAGTCCACTGTGTTCAAGTGATCAATCAGCTCGCGTGCTTGGGGGGATTCGCCACCTGATCGTGATAAGAAGATCAAGTTTCTAGCTCCACAGCTAGCCATCCATCTCGCTATGGAGCGTCCCAATCCTCCAAGCCCACCTGCTATGACAAAGGAAGCATTGGAAGGAAGTCTGAGCTTTGAGGGAGCTGGTGGAAGTGTCTTCAATGATGTTAGTTTATGTCCATTTGAATTCTCGTGAAGCTCGAGGCCTACCAAAACAACATCCTCGGGAGAAGACACTAGTACAATCTTCCCAGTCGATTTTCCGGTCTGCAAACGCCTGAGTGCATCGCTAGATTCGGAAAACTTCAGAGTAGTGACTGGATGCGGCGGGGAGATGATATTTTCCAAGTAGAGCCGAAGGGTGTCTACCAATAGTCCGTGGACTACGGAAGGTCGAAGTTTCATCATCTCGACAAGGTCCACTGCTGCAAACGTTGTTCCACCGGCAAATGAACTCATATCAAGCCGGCCGTTGCCGTACATATCTCTTTTACCGAGCTCGACAAATCGCCCCAAGGGTGCAATGCAGCTCCATGAGTGACGAAGGAGGTCACCACCGAGTGAGTTCAAGACGACATCAACACCACGGCCCGATGTTGCCCGCTTGATCTGTTTTGCGAAAGTTGTGTCTCTACTATAGAGAATATGATCTTTTGGAATGTCGTATTGATCCATCACCAGCTGTCTTTTTTCGACACTAGAGACGGTAGTGAATATCTCAGCTCCCACTGAACGAGCATACTGGATGGCCAGTTGACCTGTACCGCCAGAGCCAGCATGTATGAGAATTGTGTCTCCCGCTGAGAGTTGAGCAACATCACGGAGAGAGTAAATCACTGTACAGCCAAGGACAGGCAATGAGCAGGCAGTTTCAAACGAAATTTCATCCGGTATCTTGACGGCGAGTGATTCCTGGGTCCGACAGAAAGTTCTGATAGTCCCAGTTCTTTCAGGGTCAGAGAGAATCATCACCTTATCGCCGACTTGAAGTTGATTCACCTGGGCTCCGACTTCAGTCACAATTCCAGCTCCCTCAACTCCAAAGAATGATCTTTGAATGTCCCCCATGGCAACTAGAAGATCTCTAAAGTTGACACCAGCTGTTTTGATCTCAACCTCTATCTGAGACTCCTCAATGGGGGGCAATAATGTCTGATCGTCCACAAATGCCAAAGTGTCCAGCTGCCTGGAAGCTTGGATATGAAGCTTGAGCCCACGTCTGAAAGGTTGATTGAAGGCTCTGGTACTTGGTGGGACTTGAGGAGTTATACCGTCTATTTGTCTGGTGAATTTCTCCAATCTTTGCGATTCTTTCAAGCGGGCGATTTGTAAATGACCGTTCTCCAGTCGATATTGCTCATTCGGCTGAGCAGATTGAAGCAAAAACTGTCGATAGAACACATCAGAAATGGTTTGTTGGATCAATTCTTGAGAATTTGTCTGTGTATTCATGTCCAGCGTTGTCAAATTACGATCGGTCGACAGACTCTCTGATCTTGCAGTTCGCAAAAGCCCGGTGCTGGTAGCAAATTGAGGAGTTCCGTCATGAATCGATATCCATAAAAGATTGTGAGCCTCATTCAAGACTCGCTTGATGTTATCAAACTCTTCATTTGATGCACTTTGCCAATATGAGAGCGACGTATCTGCCACCACAATGTAGACCGAGTCTTGAACTTCGTCTTGTAGAGCTTCAGTGAGTTGGATCACCCGACTGTCGCCAATCCCAAAGCTCTGCGTCAGCTCGTAACTGATACATTCAGAGATACACGGCGCTGTGTTTCTAGGACACAAATCGATAACAGAAGCTGTGGTGAGAGGAAACTGGCCCTTCCTCTCCTCGGCTGCTCCGGCGACAATGATGCTTGAAACGTGAGCATTTTCATCGGTGCTATCAGGTAGCACAAGATCGGCTCCAGTGAACCCATTTCTCTGTAAAATATTGTTCCAGGAGCCTTCATCCAGTAATGGGCCCGTTGTTCTGAAGGTATCTTTGGAGGACCACCAACCCGGAAGTAGTCCGAACGAAAAAGGCAGGAAACAGAACTGTGGGGATACAAGCTCGTGTAGAACTAGCCGTCCTTGGGGTTTCAACAGAGCGCGAACGTTCCGAAGAGTGGTGGAGAGGGATTTTGTCGCATGAAGCACATTGCCAGCGATAATGAGATCAAAAGAACCGGGCTGCAATCCCTGTTGGGCTGGATTTCGTTCGACGTCAAAGGTTTTGTAGCTCATGATTCCCTCCCATGCTTTGAAAATTTTGGATGCCTCTTCCATGAACCCGGCTGATATATCAGTGAAAACAAACTCCTTAATGCTCCAAGGAAGACAACTTCCTAGCGGACAGAGGGAGTTCAGCACATAAATAGTAGTTGATCCAGTTCCCGCTCCTATCTCGAGGACTTGTAGTTCATTCTTCTGATGGCCAAGGTAGCCAAGATATGTTGCAAGGTGATCTGGAAGATTGCCAGCTGCGAAGACCTCTCTATAGACTGCATTCATGAGATCATCGTCACCGAACATCAACTCCAAGGGATCTGCTTCTTTCTCAAGAATGCGAGGCATATTCAACCCCATTCTGATGCACAGACTACCATTGGCGCTGGATGCACTTGTGCTTTCGTGTAACTGATCCAATGCACCCAGATCCTCGGCATGTCTCTGAAGAGCCTCTGGGGTTATCAAAGGATGATTCCCAGACTCAATAGAGTCAAGGGTACGTCGCATCCAGCTCATGTAGCTGTTGAAATGTGCTGGTAGAGTGTTCCTCGCAACACGCTCCTCAAGATTGGGAAGCACAGACTTGATGAAGAGAGATGCTGTTAGCTCCAATTTCTCAAGTGGAAGCAACCCTTTTATGCAATCTGTGTCTTTTTCTCGAATGTCATTTTCCTTCAGGCTCTCAATGTCCTGCTTCCAATCAACACAGTGGCAAGTGATGCTTCTGTTAGCCATCTTCTGGCTTGAATCAACGTGCGTGAGATCCACATCCTTAAATTGAACCTGCAGCTTCGATGATGCTTTGTCCCACAAAGTAATGTCACTTTTCATAGCAGTTGGAGATTCTTGTCGTGTGGAATTATGACACAGGAACTTGTGTCCGACATCACTGCTGATGTCTGATGCGATCCATACTTCTCCGATATGAGTTGGGAGATACATTTCAAAGTTCGTTCCAGTCCCTTCCAAACTGCAAACTGAGCCATACACTGAGTGCATCAAGGAATCAAGCATTGCTGGGTGGGCAACATGTGGGTAAACGGCCCCATGTGGCATGCACCTCGCAATGTCAGGGACCGTGATCGTTCCAAGCAAGTCACCAACTTCATTAGCTTCATGATGGATCTTAACTTCCGACAGATTGCGGAACAGTGGGCCAAATTGGATGCCAATATCCTCGGCTTTTTGGTAAATTTTGTCGAAATCGATCGATGAGCGGCAAAGACTTTGCTTCTGGGACAAGAGCTGTTCTGACATACAAGCCTCTGCGAAGATCTCATCTTCAGCATTGAATATCGTGTTGCTTCTCTCATACTCAACAGACACTTGTCCAGTACAATGAAGACTCCACTCGTCGCGATCGTTATTGTAGGAACGAATAAAAAATTGTCTTCGTGAGCTCGATGGAGACGCGCTGAGATCCATGATAGGCACGAATGATAGCATGACCTCCACTCCAGCAGGATTGTCGGGGATAACCAGAGCTGACATTATGTTCACATTTTGCAGAGTGAACCCACGTACAGCCTTTTCCTTCGAACTCATCTGCTTTGATGCTTCTGTCACCATGGCAATATGGCCGACTCCTGGATATATGATTTTCCCTGATACCTATGATGTTTTAGCATTCCAGTGGTCTTTGGAGCCGTCTTTAAACTTACCACATGGTCCGCCAGCCATGGGTTTTCCGAAACACGAAGAAAGTGTCTCCATCTTGGCTCACACTCATTCCAATCTGCCACGGGTGCCCCAAGAATGTCTTTTCGAGGCTGCTCCCGAAGCCTGTAATTTCGACTCAGTCGGCTTTCAGCCCAGTACGACGTGTTGTGATTGAAAGAGTATGGTGGCAGAGATGTCAGGAGCCGTGGTTCTCTCGATCCTGATAGAGCGCAGCTCTTTGAGAAGGCGGATAGACAGACCGGATGACCCTTCTCCCAAAGTGAGATGATTGAGTTTTGCAGCACACCAGACGACAAATCATGCCTGTCCATGACGTTTGAGTATCTGAAAGCAGTGAAGCCATCACCAGTCAGGGTTTCATTGACTGCGCTCTTGAGCACAGAGTGAGGTCCAATTTCAAGGAAGTCAATAAATTGCGATTTAGATCGCACCACTCCCAATATCGCCTGCGTGAAGTGGACCGGAAATGCGAGGTTGGTTGTCCAATACGCAGCCGTTCCTGCGAAGTTCCGATCGACTTTTCTTCCTGTCACGCTTGAAATCATTGTAACAGGGTGTTCGTATTTGAGTGTTTCGTTGTCAGTGTCAATCTTTCCAATAAATCGAAGGTAGTCCGCAACAGCAGCTTCCATGTGCGATGAATGGTACGCGTTGCGCACGCTCAGAAGCTTCCCCATCAGGCCATCACGCTCCAGCACCTCCTGCAGTTTGATGAGCGCTGTCTCATCTCCTGACACGGTGAAGTTCGAAGGAGAGTTAAGACATGCTATCGTAAGAGTTCCTCCTGGAACTTCCGAGTCGATGTAAGACCTCAACGTTTCTTCATCTGCCTTCACTGCCATCATGCAGCCATTTCTACTCTCTTGCGCTTTGGAAACGACACCTCGATAATAGGCTATTCTCCAAGCAGATTTTCGACTAATGAAGCCAGCTGCATAGGCCGCGGGAATTTCACCTGATGAGTGCCCAACAACTGAACTTGGAAGAACGTTCCAGGTGCGAAGAAGATCAATGGTAGCGACCTGGAGGATCGTACATAGTGGATGAGCTAGAACGGGATCTTCCAGGTGCAGAGAGTGATCTCGAGAAATCAAGCAGTCTGTATATGTGAGCCAAATTCGGGTGGTTCAAAATCATCTCACTTACCAAGAGCATTCCATTCTGCACCTAGCACTTCACAAAGGTAGTGACTCGCAGCTTCGAGGCTTTGGCGATATGCGGGAAATTGAAGGAGTGGATTCCCCATTCCTAGCCACTGCGCGCCTTGGCCAGTAAAGACAAACACTAGGCTAGGCGGAGAACCTCCGTATTTCACTCCTTGGATATCAGAAAGTGAATCCACAAGATCGTCAATATTTCGAGCCGTGCAAGATGCACGCCAAGAAAACTGGCTTCTTGCGCTCAGGCTGTATGACAAGTCGTTCAAGAAGTCCACATGCTTCACAGGATCAAAAGAATCCTCGGAAGAAGTCAGATACTCGATCAAACTCTCCGAAGCTCTCGTGATCCCATTCTCATCCGAGGAGCTCAAGACAAACGGCAGAGCGGGCTGGTCCTCGCCAGAAGATCCAGTGTCTTCCTCTTCATGCTCTACCTTGAGGTCTTGAGTAGCAAGGTCCAAGGGCTGGCCGGGTAGATCTGAAGCTCTGTCTACCATGCCAATGATTTCACTGGCAAGAGGAGGATTTCTGATTGTTCTGTGCGATGCATGCACGTCTCTCATCTCCAGTGAATGAAGGGCGTCACCAAGCACAATATGGGCATTGCTACCTCCAAATCCAAATGAATTGACTGATGCAAATCTAGGCCCGGTTGTCGGCCACGGCTTTGCTGACGTGGGGAAAACGACATTCCACTCCGAAGCATTGATGGCCGGGTTGAGCTCTTCAAGGTTGACATTGGGTGGTATGACTCCAGACTCGAGGATAAGGATGGTTTTGATAACCCCCAGAATCCCGGCAGCTCCTTCAGTATGACCCAATGTCGATTTCACAGCTCCGATATACAGTGGATGATCGGTAGGACGACCCTTAAATGCAGATACTAGAGCGCGAACTTCAGTGGGATCTCCGACCGCTGTGCCAGTACCATGCGCCTCAATGTAAGATGTGTACTTGTATCCGAGATCCGCATGTTTATAAGTTTCACGGACCAGCCTTTCTTGGGCTTCAGAAGATGGAGCGAATATTCCCTTGGTTCTTCCGTCATGATTGGCCCCGCTGGCATATATGACTGCTCGGATAGTGTCGCCATTGCTGACCGCGTCAGACAGGCGCTTGATCACAACAGACCCCAGTCCCTCTCCACGAGAATAACCGTTAGCTCGTGAGTCAAAACTGTAACTCAAGCCGTCTGGAGAGATAGCACCCAGCTTTGTCAAGTCTTGACATATGCGTGGGTCACATATCAAATTCACCCCGGAAGCGATGGCCTACATAGATGCAAGGTCAGATTTTCTACCCAGGTCAACAGTATATCATGGTCAACATACCGCATCACATTCTTTCAGTCGAAGGTTCTGGCATGCCATGTGCAATGCAACGAGGCTACTGGAACAAGCTGTGTCTACCACCACACTGTTTCCCTTGAAGTCAAAGAACCAGCTGACTCGGTTTGCAAGAATTGTATCATAGGTGCCAGTTATTTTGTGTTTTAGGTTTTGATCGGGATCAGTGGCCAAAATAGATCGATAATCGTCACAGAAGGAGCCAACGTAAACAGATGTGTTGGATCCTTGTGCTTGCTCGAGTGTTACGCCACCTAAGTAGCCGGCGAATCTCATTAGCAACAAATCGTGACATCCGGAGTGTCAGTTGACCAACTATTTTCCAACGCTTGGTAGACATTCTCGAGCAGCAGCCGCTGTTGAGGGTCCATGAGTACAGCTTCTGCCTGCGAAATCCCAAAAAATGGTGCATCAAACCGAGATATATCTTCCTTGATGAAATGGCCTCCGACAGTTTTGATCTATATGTGTTAGCAGGTTTTTGAAACACCATAGGCTTGACTGTCTGGGCATACAGTTCCTCCACGCTCTGGGTCACTGTGGAAGTGAGCATCAAGGTTCATTCTGTCTTCGGGAAATGGCCTCATCTGAGACTTTCCCTGGAGCAACGTGGCCCACAATTTCTCGGTATCTTGAGCTTCATTGGCAAAACTGCTTGCCATTCCAATTACCGCAATGGGCTCGACGGGATCTGATGCAGTCATGCTGATTGAGTCGACTGGAAGACAACAGTGGGAGGTTGAATGTTAATATGATTAGTGATCTTAGTTTGCAGTCAATGCGGATTTTGAGGCGGTTCAACTTACATATTTATAGGTATAGATCTGAAATACCCATCATTCACAATGATGCCATGGTGTAGTATGCCCATTGGAACTGGTAGATACCCAGACCAGCGGTGTACCAGATCTCTCATTCCATTCACTCAAAGATGCCCCGTCTTTACGAGGTTTGCAGGCTATCAAGAGCAAATTGGGATAGGATCCAAGAATCTCAGTGATTTCAGAATTCCCTTTTCATCCAACAGTGCATTGAGTAAATAGATCTGCATCAAAATTGGGCATACTTGAAATCAAATTGCGTCACATGTGTAGCATCAAAAGAAACAATTGGTCAGACGCTGACAGTGTGCATTTTGCACGGATTGTTTAGTGCATTTCAGATAAGTATAAATCTTCACTTCACAGTGCTGCTCAAGGGTCTTCAAAGTTGAATGTGTTGTGGGTCAAGTGCTCAAGTGATCAAGCGCATAACGATCCACACCTAGTCGTGCATGTCTCTATATTCTTCCAATTCTTACCCGGCTTCTGGCAAATGCTCGAGTGGTTATTCTTCTTTGATGGTACCTAAATTGAGACTCTGGGGAGCGATCAATCAGCACTGGGAAGGATAGGCAAGACAAGGATATACTTCCAAAGTTTTGGACCGCCAAAGAAAAGGTGTCTTCAAACGCACCCAGACTTTTCGTGTCTCACCAGGGTGCAGGACAGCCCTGTGTGCCGCGTAGACTGTGTATGTCACTTGACGATCTGGCTTCACATGCACAACAACCTTGGAATTGTAAAGCCAAAGATACAGCAGTTATGCCGTTTGTGGGCGAGATCCATGGTAAGGCCATAGACTGCTAGCTCGTCAATCACTCACTAACGTTGGGCAGGCCGACACTCCGCATTGGGTAATTTTAGTGAACATTCCTGGTGTTCTGCTCAAGTGGTTTTAGAATCACTCTGCTTTCTGACCGGTTAGAAATAAAGATTGACTCAATGATTGATTGATAGATCGGTTCATTTCTAATACCATCAAGAACAAAACTTGTCCTTAGATGGAGTGAGAAGCTATTAAGAATGTTTATTCCTATTGACAGCTGGCATCCTTGAAGTCATCAGCCACTACACACTATTGTCTTCTGCAACAAACTGTTATATAGTTGTCATTGCCTCCGAAAATAGGGTTTACCCATCTGGTGCAATGCGTTTCGAACACTCGCACGTTTCCCATTCTTCTGCCCAACGCAACTAAAATGGTACACTGTAGGCTGGAGCGATTGGATGATCATGCCATGTAAGCCCCTTAGACTCACCGCTATCCATTTATTCAGGATCTTGCAGAACTTTAATACATCAGAGTTTACTCCGTACTTCAGATAAACTTTGATTTACACCTACACAGGTGGCCTCTCCTATTGTAGCATGAAAGTTGCCCGATTTCCATAACAAGCCTTTATGGTCTAGTTGGTTATGACGTTGGTCTCATACTTTAAGATGTATGACATTCCTGTTCACAGGATTGACATCCGAAGGTCTCCAGTTCGATCCTGGATAAGGGCATTCTTTTTGCACTTTTTATTTTCGCTTCCCCACTTAATATGTACTCGAATCTATTTAAGTATTATGATTGGAATATATATCTCACGCCTTTGATTTTGTCATGATTTTCTTCCGGGTGTTGATTTAAATAGAGGTTTTTGGAGGGCTGAGTTAGTCTACTCGTACAAATAGTGAAGTAAACCACCAGCAGCACAGGTCTTTAAAGCACGGACGATTCCAGGCAGGTTCTTGAAGATGTTTTAAGTGCTTGTTTTATTTTTGTACGGGGTAATCACCCGTGTCTACAGGTGTGAACAGGGTACAGAGTAAGATGTTGCGAGTATATTTCCAAGGTTGTCTCAATAATCACCAAGTCTAGACATTCAATATTTAAGCAGGAGCAAAAATTGTTGTAACTGGATATAGTTCTAAAGTTGTCATAATTTACGAGTGTTATGAAGGGTTTGATTGCTCATTAGAGACAATCAAGATGAAACCCTGAAATGAACCCGTGAAGATCTGAAGGTGGAGAGAGTTCAAAGAGTTTTCAACCGCCCTTCAGCTCAAGTCAACCGAGACCTCGGGATGGGTGTCATCTCCAAGAATTATGTGTGGATGATGATCAAGCGCTGGAAGGACAGTGATGATCATCACAATTGGTCGCGTGTCATAGGTCTCGACAAGAATAGATATCTGTCACAATATAGGGCGGCACCCTAGCGCTTGGCTCTGTCTCACGTTGATACGAGCACCCACTTAGGTCTCATACGAGAGTATACGCACAAATTCACATCGTCAAGCGATGCTTGTGCGTTACGCTTTGGATGTGATCTCTGACCCCCAGGGCTCGATTGGTCGCATGCATGGCACAGAATATGTACGAGTAAACAGACCAAGCACATTTGTCCATCCAGAAGCCCGTAAGGGGGCCCCACCGAAGGCTAGAACTTGGGTTTTCCGAGGATCTTGAGATCGACGTGGCCCTAGTGTGTGGCGATTCCTATTGCTTGACTCTGTGCCTGGGAAGCCCCTCGCGGGACAACGTCATCCAAGTTCTCGCAGAGCAGCATTAAGGGGATAGTATATACATACGTGTGAGGAACTGCAGAGTCCACCGTTGATGGGGTCTCAAGGCTGCAGGTACCCCGAGTACCAACTTTGTAATCTAAGTGATGGACAGGAATCCTTTCATTTGCCAAATGTAATATTGACCAGCCGTGTGGCTGGTTGTGGCGTTATTTTCATTGTCGTACGCAAAGTGGATCGCGTACGAGTGGACGGCGTAGGGCCGGATTTCCGTGGTTGGTAACTTTAGGGCGGAACCTTGGTTGTTGTGGTGGAAAACCTTGGGTCCAATAGTCGGGGAGGTGGTAGCTCGCGCTTAGCTTGGGATGTTTACTTCGTCTACCTGGACCTCCTTTTTGAATGTCAAGAGCAGAAAGCATGTGGCACTGGAAATGAAATAGGGACAAAGATATAAATATCGACATCCAAATACTAATGCCAAATAGTAGCATACCAGCGGGGTCTAGACTCTGAAACAGAAGAGCCAATCACCCAAATTCAGGGGGGCCCCGAGCCCAGCAATTGTAACCAATTCTACGTTCGAGACTTTCCTCCCTCTTCACTGATCATCTCTTGCGAGAGGGGGACCTACATTCGCTTTTTGTCTCTCAATTGCTTCCTCTCTTGCTACTGTCGCTCATTGAATTTTGATTCAACACCTGGTGTCCAAAACCAGTATCCCACAACAATCCCACCGGGCGCCCTCGTTTTCGCGACCCTTTCGACTCGTTTCTCGAGCAACAACTAACTTACCCTCTTTCTCTATTCTTTTGCGGGTTGATCCTGCTTTCTTTCTGCGACTCATCCACCGTCGCTCCATACGTTTTAATCCGTCCAACTATCGCGATCCTCTTTCGATCTCTACCTCCTTGATGAATATCCGCCCCGCTGTATAAATTCGATCCTTGATTGACACAACCAATTGGAATATATATATCCCTTCTGGCCAAAATGCGGAACTACATTTGGGCTCTGCTTGGCTTGGCCGCCGTGCCCCAGGCATTGGCAGCTGACACTCTTTCGACGAGCGGATTCAACCTGTGCATGACCGACTCGGCAATCAACGTCCAGAAGATGGATGTCACCTACACGCGCTCCTCCGGAGTTGTTGTTTTCGACGTGGCTGGTACCAACGCGAAGCAACAGAAGGTCACTGCGGCCATCACAGTCACTGCCTACGGAAGAGAACTATACAAGAAGGAATTCGATCCATGTGGCGACGAGATCCACGTGGATCAGCTTTGTCCTGTCCCCAAGGGCACCTTCAAGGCCAGTGGGTCTATGGAGATCCCACAAGAATATGCCAGCCAGATCCCTGCTATCGCGTTCAACATGCCTGATCTCGACGGCCAGGCAAAGCTGGTCCTCAAATCCAAGGGGGACAGTGCGAGCAACGTGGCTTGCATCCAGTCTGAGTTGTCCAACGGCCATTCCACCAATGTTAAGGCTGTCACCTATGTCTCTGCGGGCATTGCAGCAGGCGCTCTGGCACTTACCGGTGTCTCTGCTGCTGGCGCGGCCGGAGGTGTTGGCGCGCCATCGCACAGCCCTGGTTTTGGCGATGTAATGGGCTGGTTCCATTCCATGGCTACCAACGGTATGCTTAGTGTCGCATATCCATCCGTCTACAGCAGCTTCTCCAAGAACTTCATGTGGAGTACCGGTCTGATCCCCTGGCCTAGCATGCTGAACTCCATCGACAGCTTCCGAAGTGCTACTGGTGGTAACACAACCACCGAAAGCTACGCCTTCTTGAAGAATGCTTCTTTGTCCACCAGTGCCTCATCGTCCAATACCACTAAGCGCAGCTGGGACTACACAATTCAATTCGGCGAGCTTGTTGCTCGCTCAATTGATGCATCTGCCGACGACACTGTCTCAAACAGCACTTCAAGCAGTGACGACGATAGCGGGAGCTCAAGCACTGTGGACAGGTTCAAGGAGATCTCAAATGAGCTCCTGGTCCCATCTGCTGATGTTTTCATGACCGTCCTTCTGATCTTCGCCATTGTCATTGCTGTCGTCGTCGTTGGAATTCTTCTCGTCAAGGTCGTCCTTGAACTTTGGGCGCTGTACGGAAGATTCCCAGAAAAGCTGTCCGACTTCCGAAAAGACTACTGGGGTATCATGGCACGGACAATTACCAACATGATTTTGGTGCTTTACAGCATTTGGGTGCTATACTGTGTCTACCAACTTCGCAAGGGTGACTCGTGGGCCGCAAAGACACTGGCTGCGATCACCCTGGCTTTGTTCACGGCGCTGCTTATGTTCTTTGCTGTCCGTATTGTTTACATGGCTCGCAAGTATAAGAGAGCCGAAGGAGATTCCTCCGGCCTATACGAGAACAAGGACACCTGGAAGAAGTACAGTTTGTTCTACGACAACTACAAGAAGGATTTCTGGTGGATTTTCATCCCTGTCATTGTGTATGCACTGGTCAAGGGATGCATCATCGCCGGTGGTGAAGGTCATGGCCTGTTCCAGAGTGCAGGCCAGCTTGCCTGCGAGGTCCTTCTTTTGGGACTTCTAGTGTGGAGTCGTCCATATGCTACCAAGGCATCCATGGGTATCAACATTGCTGTCCAGGTCGTTCGCGTTCTGTCCATTGCCTGCGTTTTGGTGTTCGTCGAGGAGCTTGGCATGTCCCAAACCACTAAGACGGTCACTGGTATTGTCCTCATCGTTGTCCAGTCTACCCTGACTGCTGTCCTCGCTATTCTCATCACTGTCAACGCCATCATTTCCTGCTGCCGCGAGAACCCCCATGCCAGACGCAGAAGGGAAGCTGGTAAGTCATCCACTCCGAACCAATTGAATCCCCATGATCACATTACTAACGTTGCTTTCCTTCCAGAAAAAGCAAACCGCGATATTGACGACCTGACCCCCTTGGATGCTCGGGACTCACTTCTCATGGAGCACCCCCAGCGCAAGGAGTACACCGAAATGAGCCACTTCAACTTCACCGGTCCCTACGAGCCATACCGTGACCAACCCCACCGACCAGGGTCTCATGGCAGCAACGAGCACCATGGACTGGTCGGAAATGACTACGGTGTGGCGCACGGTCGCAGCACCAGTCCCGACAGTCGAAGCTCAATCGACGGCCGCCATCCCACTAAACCGGGGTATGGAATGGCATACTAAAACATCCACGAAACCAAAAAACAAAAACAGAAATACGAAAACGTCAATCGCCATGACGTTACCCATTCTTCTCACCTTGACACATCTTCTACATTCTTAGATCGAGCACACTGCGTTTTGGATAGAGATTTACCTTTTATTTTTTGACGGTTTTTAGCGTGCTTGAACATGGTGGGCCTTCGCACTTCGCCTTATGCATTTCCCTGTGATATCACTTGCTCCATTCCTTTGATTTGTCTCTATACATACCTCATTCTTTTTATCTTAACCATCTATCATTTATATTACCATTTGCAATTGATGAACTTTTCTACATGCTACTCGGTTACTTATTTCGCCTATGCAGGCTATAATCTTGATCATGGTACACAACTATGATATGGGTCCAAGTGCATTATATTCAATGTCGCTCGTCTCTCTGGACTTCCAAGGATCTATAGAGTCAGGGAAGTATGGGGGAGATGGAAGTGATCATATTAGGCACTACCTGAAGGCTATCTGAATAAATAAAAGACCGCCCTAGCCGTTTGGAACAAACCAACTCTCTCTCCGGGCTTTGTGCCCCGGTTAAAAAAAAAAAAAAAAAGACATAGAAAAACACGAAAGAAACGAAGTCATATCTGAACAGTAGGAGACCAGACCAGAGCTCCCGGGGTATCCACGGAAAGCACCTTAGCGCTGGTAGGGGTGGTAACCGCGGTGACTACCACCTCCGCGGCCACCGCCACGGTAGTTCGCACCGGGCTTGCCAGCGTTACGGGGTCCGGTGGGGGCGTTGGCTGGAGCTGTGCTCTGGGGCTGAGGGGTAGTTCCTAATAGAAGTTAGTCGGACATAATTCAAACAGTGGGGTTGAAAGTGGTGTAATATGATAGCTCTTAAGAGCCACATACCGCAACCTGAACTCTCGTTGCTTCACATACCTGATGGTCCACCTGGAGCGTGGGGCTGAGGGACCTCGTCGTACATTCCCTCCCAAGAAGTAGGACCTCCCTGCTGCTGGTAAGGCGAGAAGCCACGAGGATCCATGGTGCGAGCCTGCTGCTGTTCATACTTCTGCTGCTCGAATGCAAGCTGTTCGTGTGCGTTGTAGCCGGGTCCGGGCTGGCGGTTAGCAGCCATGGCGGCAGCGTTGGGACCGGGGCTGGCGGTGTCGCTTCCCGTAGCACCAGTGGCGCTGCCAGCCTGGTTGGGCTGCATCATGGCAGCGTTCATCATGTTTGGCATGGCGTGCTGAGCACTGGGGCTCTGGGGACCGGGACCAGGACTCATGGAACCATGTTGCGGACCACCCAGCTGCTGCTGTTGCTGACGCATCTGCATTTGCTGCATCTGTTGCATCATAGCGGGGTTCATCATGGCAGGGTTCATACCCATTCCGGGCATTCCTTGACCCTGGGCCATCGTCTGCATCATGGTGAAGTACTGCTGCATTCGCTGCCAGTATTGAGCCATCATCTGAGGGGTCATGCTGCTACCCTGTCCCTGCTGAGAAACCTGTTGCTGACCATCATTCTGGTTTTGATCACGGAATCCTCCATTACGCTGTCCTCCACGCTGATCGTTGTTGTCACGCAGGTTACCACGGGGAAGAGCCTTCTTGACTTCAATAGGCTTTCCGAGGATATCTAGGGGACGGGAAAGGGTTTTCTCAACGGCAGCCTCGCTGTCAAATGTCACGAAACCGAATCCACGGGGACGACCAGTGTCCTTATCAATCATAAGAGTAGCATCCACGACGCGTCCGAACTGCATGAAGAAATGCTTGAAGTCTTGCTCAGTTGCCTCCTGGCTTACACCGCCCACAAAGATCTTAGAGGTCTTCTCTTGCTCATCACGAGGAATGGCACGCTTGGGATCGATCTTTGGTCTTGTCAGCGGATGGAGTTCATGAATGAGATTGCACCGAGTATGCTCTTACAATCTTTCCATCCAGATAATGTTCCTTGACCATAACAGTATTGACAGTCTTGGGGTCACGGAAGGTCAAGAAGCCAAAGCCACGAGAGCGACCACTGGCGCTATCGCGCATAACAGTGCATTCTTGAACCTCGCCAAATTGTGAGAAGTAGTCACGAAGGGATTCTGAATTCAGACAAGTCGATTGCGTTAGTCTAATGTGAGTCTGAATAGAAAGGAGATACATACGATCAGTAGTTTCCCAGTTCAGACCGCCGATAAACATTTTCCTAGACAAATATCAATCCCCGGTTAGCCAATGTTTCCCGGTCAATCGTCTGGGGCAGTGGTATTCAACCCGTCCCCAAGGGGGTAAAAAAAATATAGACATGGTGAGATTGGACGCGTGAGGGTAGAAAAGGCATAGGAATAGGAATAGCGGAGGAATAGCGGCTTGAAGAAGAGTGGGATGACGTGAACAATGGTGACGGCAGAGCGATGGGCAAAGTTGTCCTGGCTAGAACGTTGCGTGTGTGCTATTCACGGGCGAATCGAGGTTGTGTGAGCGAGAAGAGACTTGATATCCCGCTAGTCATAAACAATGGACCGGATGAGGCCTGCGAGACGGTGCCAGGTCCTAGCCTCAGTGCCTTGTCAATGTACAGCCTGGCAGCCCTGAACCGATCTGATATGGAGTTTTAACGCCGAGCCCACTGATTACACAAGCTCGGGTGCGAATATCGATTTCCACCTCTTTCTGGATTGCTCAAGCCGGAAGCAGGCGAGATGAGAAGCGTAGAGGTGCAAGTAATTCAGTCGTAAAAAGTGAATTGTCACTGTCTGTCTGTCTGACCCGCAAAACCCTTTGCCTTGTCTAACAGAGTCCCAAGCTAGATAGCTACTTCTTGCTCTGCCCTATCAAGGTATATCGACAAGAATCTATATAGTATCGGCTGTACTATATATGGATGACTTGTGACAGAGGTCCATGGCAGGCGGTGGGTGGTGCCGGGTGGATGGTTGCTAATGGTTTTGACCAGCGGTTTCCGGCGATAAACTTGATTTTGACTGGTTCTTCGAGGCAGGAGTTGAGGTGCGACCAGTGCAAAGTGCGGAACTGGTTTGTTTTGATGCACCTGAGCGACCGTATAGCGTTTGAGCGCGAATGGTGATTGGGCGCCGTGTTCGCTTTCTCGATTTTTCCTCCTTGTGGACAAAGTCATTTGGCCAGCCGGTGAATTTTCCCTTCACATAGCCCCGGAACGTTTCAGTTCATAGCTCAAAAGCCATTATTCTTCCTAGCCAGGAAACTCTTCTTCCCGCACACACAATTTGTACTCGAACCCGTGAATAGCAGATAGCAACACTCAAGTTCATATCACCATGGTACAGCCTCGATTGACACCCAAGTTTGAGGCCAATTCATGATCATATATAAAGTCGACAAAAGCAATTGAAGAACTTACCCGTCTTCCTTGATTCCTGTTCCATGAGATTCGGGCTCAGCAGGGGCCTCGGTAGCGGGCGGAGCGCCGTAAGAATTTCCAGCGCCATTGTTGTACCCATTATCATATCCAGAAGGCTGAGCTGCAGGTTGCGACTGGTAAGCATTCACTGGGGCGGCCTCTGTGACCTGTCCGACAGACGCAGCAGGCGCGGCGGGCGCAGCGACAGGCTCAGCAGGCTTTGGGGCCTCAACGGCGGAGGTAGTGCGATTAGTGGATTCGTCGGCATCGTAACTGTTCAACAGAAACTTCATTAGAGCTGTGTGTAGGGAGAGGGTAGGAGCAAGGCACGTACAGATCCGCGAAGAGATCATCTCCATCTTCTGGGTCAGCCATGATTAGAATTTGAGTATAAAATGAGTATGCGCAAGATATCTGACCCTAGTACAATGGGATGTAGTAGGGAGTTGAGGCAAGGGAAAAGTGAGAAGGTCGAAAGGTCGGGAGAAACGATTGACAGAAGAAGATTATGTAACACGAATTGAGTGCCAGGTGCGCGGGTTGACTTGAGGGGGAGACGTTTAGCTGTATATCTATAGCTCCTGATTCTTTGATTTCGATTCACTTCACCGTTACTTCTCAGTTCTACCATGATGATCTATTAATTTCTTATTTACAGTCCTTTCTATGGCCGCATGGAACGACAGTTATATTGCTGCAGCACCCCGCACGTCGCTGAAACTCATGAGATCACAGCGTGAAATCATATAAAGATGGCGAACAAGAAAGGGCAGGTGAGTTTCGCTCAGTTGTCGTATTGTCCGATGACATCGTCAAGGGAATTGAGCTAACTCCATCCCTAGGAAATGGTCCAGGTTGGTGCGTGTCTTTTGCCTCCCCCTACATTCTAATCGCAACCATAGCTTACAAGGCCTTCTTTCACGTCTTTTAGACAAATCAGAGTAAGTTGAGGCCCTGATTGTTTCTGCGACCGAGCTATTCCACTATATTGCAGCGTACAGTGTGCTAACATTCGTTCAAGACGTGCCGAATCGCCCTTCTGGGCCGGCCGAAGTGTGTCTCTTAACCAAGGAACCTCGAAGATATATGGGCCAAACACCGTTGTTGGCGCTTCATATTCGCATGCAAGTCTTGTGCAGTATGTTCAATCCTGGAATGATTCCTCTGTATATTATTGAAGGGCATTCGCTAACCAATTGCTCCTCCGGCAGACCTCCGACCTCCCACGCCCGACCCAGGACACCTACAAGGTCATCTTCTGCGATTTCCACGGCGCATTTGGGTCGCCGATCGGGAAATTCAATAGCATCGCCTCCCCGACAACCATATCCCGGAATCATGACTGACGGGGCCGACGAGTGGAGCCGCGACCCCGCGGAAGAGGACGACGATGATGACGATGATGAGATTGTATATGATGATGACGAAGATGAATTCGGACTTCCAAGTCTTGCCAGCATGAGAAGAAAAAAGTCCGCGCCATTGAAGCCCAAAGCTGCCAATTCCAGCGGCGGGGCAGGAAGCTTCTCTACATTGGGATATGGTTTGTCCGCCAGCAACAGACAACGAGCGGATAGCGCAGACATCGCCGAGGAGCGCGGCGCCCCTATGTACCCGACTGCTCGAAAGGGGGAGGGCAAGATCCTTCGACCCCAATATAAAGATATTCTGCAAGGTATTCATAACCCCATGAACCCATGGCGCAGAGGTAGGATGAAGTTAACAATGGCTAGATCCCGCGAATGCTTTGAACCTCATCAACCACTCACCTCCTCCCACAGATGCTTCTCCAAAGGAGAGAGACATTCACTCCAGTCGCATCACTCGAATCAACAAATTCAAGCGCATTCTGCAGGCCAGCACAGTATCACCTACCGAGTTGCGGGATCTTGCTTGGTCAGGTGTTCCGGAAGAAGTGCGACCAATGACCTGGCAACTTCTTCTAGGATACCTTCCTACTAACAGCGAGCGACGCATCTCCACCCTGGAGCGAAAGCGCAAGGAATATTTAGACGGAGTTCGACAGGCCTTTGAGCGGGGTAGCGGCGTAAACTCTGCTAATCCCCCAGCTTCAACCAAGGGCCGTGGCAGAGGACTGGATGAAGCAGTTTGGCATCAGATCAGTATTGATGTTCCACGTACCAGCCCCCACATTCCGTTATATGGATATGAGGCTACTCAACGATCTTTGGAACGTATTCTATATGTGTGGGCTATCCGGCACCCTGCTAGTGGTTATGTCCAGGGCATCAATGACCTAGTGACGCCATTCTTTCAGGTGTTCCTGGGCGTCTATATCACTGATCTGAATGTCGAAGAAGGCATGGATCCAGGCCAGTTGCCCCGCAGTGTGTTGGATGCAGTGGAAGCCGATACTTTCTGGTGTCTCACAAAGTTATTGGATGGCATCCAGGACAACTACATTTATGCCCAGCCGGGAATCCACCGACAGGTCAGGGCGCTTCGTGATTTAACAATGCGCATTGATTCGGCCCTGGCAAAGCATCTGGAACATGAAGGCGTGGAGTTTATGCAATTTAGTTTCCGGTGGATGAACTGCCTGCTCATGCGGGAAATGAGCATTAAGAACACGATACGCATGTGGGATACTTACATGGTACGTCTTGTTCTCCTCATCGTCCGAACTTATATTGATTGTCACATCCAGGCCGAGGAGCAGGGCTTCTCCCGGTTTCACCTTTACGTTTGCGCTGCATTTTTGGTCAAGTGGACCGATCAGTTGCTTAAGATGGATTTCCAGGTATGAACCCTACGCCCAATATCCCGTATCAAGCTGGATTCTAACCCACATGCAGGAGGTCATGATGTTCCTCCAGGCATTGCCTACGAAGGGTTGGACAGAGAAAGACATTGAGCTTCTACTGAGCGAAGCCTTCATATGGCAAAGTCTGTTCCAAGACTCGCGTGCCCACCTCCGGTCCGCTGGCGATGAACCTCCTGAAAATGGTATCTTTTATTGATAGTAATCATAATTCATTATCCGAATTACCGGCCTCTATGTTCGGATGTTTCCCACCCACAGCAAAGGAATTGTCCCATTTCGATCAGTTGAAGTGAATACCCTTCTGGTTGAATGCCCAAAGCAACTTCAAGAAATCATTCTCATCGCACATTCTCGCGCGCTTCTCTCCGAGGTTGGTGTCATCCTCCAGGACACTGCGCACTTTTTCACGAACCAATTCAGCGACCTTGCCGCGCTTCTTGCGTGAAGCTCCGTTCTTCAGCGCTGCCTCAAGGCGGGCATTAGTCTCCTCTTTGAAGAAGTCGGGAACATCGTCATCGTCCATATCCATGACCTCATCGGCCGGCTCAGCAACTTGCTCCTCCTCATCATCCATCTCCATTGCCGTGTCATCGTTGGCAACTTCGGCTGGGCCATCCTCTACAGGAATGTCGTTCTGTGCACACCAAGTTCGATAGTTTGACTCGAGGAGGTCCATGATGCTACTGACACCAATGAAACTAGAGCGGAGAGTCTTGTTCTTGCGCACGAAGACAATGCGCAAAAGACCGTCCCACTCCTCATAGCTGATCTGGGGCCGTGGGTTCTTGGGCACCATACGAATGACGCTGGACTCGACTTGTGGTGGGGGCTTGAAGTTGTTCTTGCCAACCTTCATGATGTGGTCAATTTTGGCCCACATTTGCGCATTGACTGAAAGTCGACTGTAGAGCTTGTCACCGGGCTTGGCGAATAACCGCAGAGCGAATTCACGTTGAAACCTGCATAGGAGAATTGCATGTAAGCTAATGAAACAACATTTTCCCTGAAATCTTGAAAGCTCATAGTGTAGACGTACATGAGAATACAGGAACGAGGCGCCGGGGATTGGGCAAGGAGCTTGAATGTGAGAGGAGACGAAATCTGGATTGTGTTAGACTAGGCGAAGCATCTTTTGTCTCAATATGCACACATACCTGATAGGGGGTATTACTGATGCAGACATCGAAGTATGGGAGCTCGGTTTTCATCACATCTCCAAGAATGACATCCAGGCGTTTTTGGTATGGGGTAGATTGGAAACGCTTGGTGACTTCAGCAGCCATACGAGGGTCAAGTTCCACCGCAATACACTTCTTTGCCTTTTCCAAAATCTTGGCTGTCAAGTTACCAGTACCGGGACCGATTTCGAGGACGATCTATTGACACTGTTAGTGTTTTGGAGTCCATTTAATGACCGTTATAACCCACATCACTCTGTTTGAGCTCAGCCTTTTCCACAATTGCAGCTAGAGACCCATTTATCAGCCCTAGAAATCAAATGACAAGTGAATAAGCCCATACCGGCAATACCAGGGTTCTTCAGAACGTGCTGGCCGATATCAGTGTTCATCTTGAAGATGCTGTGAGCAGCCTTCGTCTTGGCAGCAGCATCTGACATGCCCTGCGAAGCGCCATTGCGCTTAGATTTCTGGACCTTGGGCATATTCAAGTTTTAAGCCCTGTGAAGACCGTAGAAATCAATAAATTGGAGAAATTCCGCTGCAGGCGCGCCACCTTCAATGTGGGCGGACAACTTTTTTTCTGATAAGATTGTCGGCCCCGGAATTACTTTCTCACGCAGCCCGCTCTTCTTCCGCGACCTTGAACTATCTCCATCGAGTTGTGCCCAATATGGCGTCCGGACGAAAGGATTTCCTGAGCCAGGCAGCGCCTGAAAATTACGTCGCTGGTCTCGGTCGTGGTGCGACAGGATTCACCACTCGCTCCGATCTTGGCCCGGCGCGCGAAGGACCTACGCCCGAACAAATCCAAGCTGCCCTTACCAAGAGAGCTCAACAGCTGGGAGCCGCTGCGCCTACCGCCTACGGAAATAACTCGCGCGAAAAAGGAGGGAAAGAAGATGAGAAGGAGGAGGAAGATGAACGGTTCCAAGACCCCGACAATGAGGTTGGACTATTCGCCTACGGACAGTTCGACCAGGAAGATGACGAGGCAGATCGCATCTACCAAGAGGTAGATGAAAAGATGGACAAGCGCCGGAGGGCTCGCAGAGAAGCTCGAGAGAAGGCCGAACGAGAGGATTTCGAAAGCAAGAACCCGAAGATTCAACAGCAGTTTGCGGATTTGAAACGAACACTCGCCTCCGTATCCGAAGAAGACTGGGCCAATCTACCAGAAGTCGGTGATCTGACAGGAAAAAATCGACGAGACAAGCAGAACAGCCGACAACGATTCTACGCTGTTCCGGATAGTGTGCTTGCTGGCGCAAGAGACTCCGCCCAATACGGAACGACAGTCGCTGAAGATGGCTCCCAAACAAATGCCGAAGGAGAAGGGGCGGGCACAATGACGAACTTTGCAGACATCGGTGCTGCGCGTGATAAGGTGCTCCAGGTCAGGCTGGACCAGGCTGCCCTTTCTGGCGATGCAGCATCCGGAAGCGCCACGAGCATTGATCCCACCGGTTACCTCACCAGCTTGAACAAGTCAGAAAGCAAATCTAGTGAGGCCGAGGTGGGTGACGTCAAGCGTGTCCGCGTATTGTTGGAATCAGTCACGAAGACCAACCCCAAGCATGCCCCCGGTTGGATCGCTCTCGCTCGTCTTGAGGAAATCGCGGGTCGAATTGTGGTTGCCAGAACACTCTTGGCTAAGGGATGTGAGCTCTGCCCAAAGAGCGAAGACATATGGCTGGAAAACATCCGTCTCAACGAAGGCCACAACGCAAAGGTTATCGCAGCAAACGCCATCAAAAACAATGATCGCTCTACGAAACTCTGGACCGAGGCTATGTTACTAGAAACGGATATCCGTGCGAAGAAGAACGTTCTTCGACAAGCTATTCTACACATTCCTCAGTCAGTTCAGATCTGGAAAGAGGCCGTCAATCTGGAAAGTGACCCAGCCGATGCGCGTCTGTTGCTCGCCAAGGCAGTTGAAATGATTCCCCAGTCAGTCGAGTTGTGGCTTGCCTTGGCCCATCTTGAGACCCCCGAAAACGCACAAAAGGTACTGAACGCTGCCCGTAAAGCCGTTCCTACCAGCTTCGAGATCTGGATCGCAGCCGCTCGACTTCAGGAGCAAATGGGCACTTTCGAGAAGATCAATGTCATGAAACGTGCTGTTCAGTCATTGGTTCGTGAAAATGCCATGCTGAAGAGAGAGGAATGGATCGTAGAAGCCGAAAAGTGTGAAAAGGAAGGTGCCGTTCTCACCTGCGGTGGCATCATTCAAGAGACCCTTGGGTGGGGCCTGGATGAAGACGATGATCGCAAGGTCACCTGGATGGAGGACGCGAAAGCTAGCATTTCCCGTGGCATGTATGAAACTGCGCGAGCCATCTATGCGTACGCTCTTCGTGTCTTCGTCAACCGCCGATCTATCTGGATTGCAGCCGCTGATCTGGAACGCATCCACGGCACCAAAGCAGCACTATGGCAAGTCCTCGAGAAGGCTGTCGAGGCCTGTCCTCAAAGTGAAGAGCTTTGGCTCCAGCTTGCCAAAGAGAAATGGCAGTCTGGAGAGATCGATGAGGCCCGACGAGTACTTGGTCGTGCCTTCCACCAAAATCCCAACAACGAAGATATTTGGCTTGCGGCCGTCAAGCTCGAAGCCGACGCCAAGCAGACCGATCAAGCTCGAGAACTTCTGGCCACCGCTCGTAGCGAGGCCGGCACTGATCGCGTGTGGATCAAGAGTGTTGCCTTTGAGCGGCAACTCGGTAACACCGACGATGCTCTTGATCTGGTCAATCAAGGGCTACAGCTTTTCCCCAAGGCTGATAAGCTCTGGATGATGAAGGGACAGCTATACGAAGCACAAAAGAAAATCCCACAAGCGCGCGAGGCGTACGGAACCGGCACCCGGGCTTGTTCCAAGTCGGTCGCATTGTGGTTGCTCGCTTCACGGCTGGAGGAAAACAATGGCGCAGTCGTTCGAGCCCGTTCTATTCTTGATAAAGCTCGTTTGGCCGTCCCCAAGTCCCCCGAGCTCTGGACTGAAAGCGTGCGTGTCGAGCGTCGCGCCAAGAACATCACCCAAGCCAAGACTATGATGGCGCGTGCGATTCAAGAAGTCCCCTCGTCCGGTCTGCTATGGACCGAAAGCATCTGGTTCCTTGAGCCTCGTGCCTCGCGCAAAGCTCGCAGTCTGGAGGCTATGAAGAAGTGCGAGAATGATGCCGTGCTATTCATTGCCATTGGGCGTATCTTCTGGAGTGAGCGTCGGTTGGATAAGGCTATGACATGGTTTGAGAAGGCCATTGTTTCAAATAGCGATTATGGAGATGGTTGGGCTTGGTATTACAAGTTCCTGCAGGAACATGGCACGGAGGTTTGTCGTCCAGGATATACACCATTGTCGGAACACTCAGCTTACATTCTTATACAGGAAAAACGGGCCGACGTTGTGACCAAGTGCACTACGGTGGAACCCAAGCACGGCGAGATCTGGCAGTCCATCGCAAAGGATCCGGCTAACGCACACAAAACCACGGAGGAACTTCTCACTTTAGTTTCAAATACCCTCAACTAGATGTCTTGCTCTTTGCTTTGTGCATTCTCAGGCGTTCGGGGAGCAAACTAGCTTATGGGATTGAATCAGTTACGGGAATGTACGATGTTTCTTACTGTAGAGTTTTCCAAATGTGACTATGTAAAAGCTGTTTTCAATCATAGACTGCAAAGGTTCAAGAACAAGTAGAATTCATGGGTATCGAACAAGCGTGACACCTCTTTCCAGGGAGCGTTATGGGCATTGTTTTCGGCATTTTTGAACAATTTCTTCAAGGTCTCTCTGTCCTCGATTGCCCTGCCATGTCCGCAAGAAGCGACAATATACATCACAAGGTCATGTCAGGCATAACCTAAGTGAAAATGAAAACAGGGATAGGAACAAGGTCAGGGAAATCAAGAACAGACAGTAACGACGTATCTTCAAACTCCAAATCAATATGCAAATCATGCGGTACCGCAGTGGTAGCCTCCATTGGTAGTACCCAGACGCCGTGAGCCACCCTCCAGCCAGACCGAGAAAGGAAAAGAAACAAGAAGTAAAATGGTAATGTAGCAGGGTGTGATAAACGAGTATTAGCAAAACAAAGAGCTGGGGTATAAAATTTTCACGCGGCCATGGACAAACACTCATCAAGCAATCCGCTCAATTGATCTCGATCACCCAGAGTGCCTCCCTCCCAGTCTAGCAGAGAGCCGTCTTCATCTTCATCCAGGTCCATCTCATCTTCGGCCTGTTTGATGTGCTCGTGGGGCTCGCTGATGCCCTTCTCTGGGCGATCTTGCCTTTCGGTTTCTAACTCATCTTCAAAGTATCCGCCCATGATCTGGTCCACGATCAGTGGCATGTGACCGAGGACACCACCGCCCAATTCCAGGGTAAGGCGGAGATCTCGCACGCCCAGCGGTTGTCGCATGCTAGCTTCCCTGGCTTCAACAGGGAGTAAACCCGTGGCAGCGTCCTTGACGATTTCACCTCGAGTATAGGCAAGCTCCTCTATTTCGAGCTGTTGTCGATACTTCCGCATCATCATGTTGTTGATCGTACCCGATGGACCGTTTGATCGGGTGCGCGAGAATACGGCAGACAGTACTTCTTTGACAAAGGTTTCCGTCGCAATTGCCATGAACTCGGCACAAGGAAGACCTGCACCACCAGGCAGAGACTCCTCGTAACATATAGGAACCATGCGGGCATGAATCGATTCCGAGTCGGGGAATTCACCGGTTTCCGCAGCGAGGGGTTGGGCATAACGCTTACGAATTTCCAGTTCCCAATCTGTCACGGAGGGAGATGATTAGATACTGGGGTCCTTTAAGGGGTCTCGGGAACGCAGTGGATATCTTGGTCCCTGGGGTTTGGGTGTTGTCTTACTAGTTTTGTTGAGCCCTCCTGCACTTGCGGGGACCTGGCTGGGTAATTTGATTTGCTTCGCTAGGTGACTTTCCTCTAGCTCCGTAATTCTTGTCTCGTTGGGATCTCGCTGTTGACCGTTAGCAATGTGTCCCAGTGACCAGGATGAGCGTCATCGTTTGCGACCACATACCTCTGGGATTCCCTTTATGCGCCGGCGGTCCCTCGGAGGCAACTGCATAACCTCGGTTTTCAACCGTTGTTCTGCAGCATCTCCGGAGACGGGTTTCGAGACTGTTGATGGTTTATCGTTGGCTGAGACCCAGTTTGCGACGCCATGGTCAGGGAGGTCTCGTGTGAGATTTCCGATGAGCGCGCAAACGAAATTGTTATGGAGGTGTTCATTTTTAGGGTCGGCGAATAGGAAATAGTCGACGCGCGACGCGTATTCGTTCTGGTTGTATTGTCCTACAAATCGGATAAGAGGTCAGGAGGTCAGCGAACCGAGGCCGATGGGATGAATAGAACAAACAGCTTTTGCGAAAGCTCAAGCAGTGGATTTCCGGGGGCAGGAATTCCACGCGCTGGAAGACTAACCTAGCAAGAAAAGAGCTGTGGCTTCCTTGTACTCGGCCCACTTGTCTCCGATGGCGGCCTTCAAGTCCGTGTACACAGGCTCCAGCTCCAGGCGCGGCACTGATATCAGCGCTCTGGAGCTCTTTAATGATGCCGAGCCATTTGGCGCTGTGCCTTTAATGGCATTGGAGGCGGAGTCATTGCGACTTAGGGCCGCCGGATCGATCTGCATGATTGCAGTACTGAGAGCGCGACTGAGGCCGAAGGGCGGCAGGGAAGATTGACACCTACGCCTTCATGAAGAAGGATCCAAGGGTCTAAACCAGGGATAACGAAAGTGGTCGAAGTTTCATGTGAGAGACCGACGAATTGATGATGGAAATTGATGGGATGAAAGACCTGGTTTGGGTGTGAAGGGGAGAGGTTCGAACTTGCGGTTCCCCGCCAGACGCCAGAAACGGATACATCGCAGGGCTCCGAATTCAGGTACTTAACGGGCAACGCTCTACATACATTCTGGCTATTTCAGAGGCTTTTCATGCTATTAAGGATCAATGGAACTGCATTTTCAAGCTAGTTGGACTACGTCTTCACTCAATACCCCAAATAGTCGCCCGATCTCCGCAATGATCTCCATGATCTCGTTTGATAATTGGCCCGTGACCAGAACTAAGATCGCGAGGCGAACAAGATCAGTATTTGTCCAAAGAAAAGAAAGGTGACTACTAACCATATGCATATAAAAGTGCGCAGTCCTCATCTGTGGTATGCTGAGAGGCCTCGCAATCTAAACGATAGCGATAGATGCGAGCAAGTAGCCGGTCCCGGGCATGTTCGATGCTAGGAAGCACATCGCTCAAGGGATATTCGAGCTTCATGGAAGAAGCAATGACTGAGGGTGGATTAGTTTCAAAGATGACAAACAAAGCTATCGCAAATCATAGGAACAAAGACAAACCTGATAGTAGATGGCTGACACGAGCAGACAGCTGCTGTCGTTCCAATGCCGTATACTGGAGAAGGCTGATTTCGCCTTCAGTGGAAGGATCATTCTTCATCAACTCAATGTTCATAGTATGGAAAGAGTTTACCATGCTGCGCGTACGCCGAACAATGTTGGCATATGAGCTAGCGGGAAATGCGCTCTTCAATTCAAACTCAGAACTTGCGGCGCCTTGAAGAGACTCCAATCGAGCAAGAAATCTTTCAATCTCAAGTTTCTCTCTTGGGCTCATGTATACAACAGACTTCTTTTCCTGAACCATCAATGATAGCGGGTCACGTTTCCAAACGAGACTCAGGTGCAGCCAAAGAAGACTCAGGCTCTCTTTGAGCCTGCGTCTTGCACTGATGGGCCAAATCATCCGGGTGATGAAAATTCCCCAAACACACCCAGAGAGCACGGCAACAACTCGATGAAGAGCAATCTCAGTCATGATTGGATGGGAACCACCCTCATCCTCGTCCATGGCCGCTTCTTTCTGGGCGAGGGAGTACGCATATAGCACAGAGAGATTGTAGGTAAGCATGATGAACCGACCCATAGGTCCGTTTCCTCGGACAATCGTGATGTACCCGGTCCATATGGCCATCAAAAAACCAAAGAATGAAAGAGCAAAGACGTTTGCTGCGGTGATTTCCCAGGCTGCGATGGCACAAGCAGCACCTAGACAGGTACCGAGGAATCGGGCATATCCTGTCGTATTCGAGGCACCGATTGTCATGGAGCAAACCAACATGTAAGATAAGAGACCCCATTCTCCTCGCCAACGCCCATAGAAAGGGCGTGTTGAAGGAAGAAATGCAGGCAAGGCATAGATTGCAGCTCCAGCTCCAACTTTGATAGCATATTTTGTGTCATCTCGTCGGAAGAAACCGAAGCACTTCCACACCCGGTATCCAAGTCTTTGCTTCATTGCTTGTTTGGGCGTATTGGTCATAGATTGAACTGTTACAGGCACTCTGTCATGTGCAATGAGGCCATCTGATGCATGTCTAGCATGTTTATGGTTGTTTGAATGAAGTGGAGGGGCGCTAGAAGGTCTGGAGGCTGGCTCTGCGATGGAATTAGTATGATAGGATTACATGGCATCAGGAAGAGAGAGAGAATGGTTGTTTAATCGAACACGCACCTTCATCTAGAGTCTTTGCTTTGGCAGCTTGGGCGGTTGTTGACCACCGCCATATTTTAAGCCATGACCAGGATCGCCCATTCGGGCGCTCTTCGACTTCCAGTTGCAGCTCGTCCAAGATACCTAGCATCTCTTTAAGCTGTTCTCCGAATTCCAGGAGAGAAAAGCTGAAATGACCGCAGCTGGCCGATACTTCTTCAAGATCCGCCTCAGCCTCGTGGGTCTTCAGTTTCATAGTTTCCTTCTGCTGATACAAGGAAGTGAGTGTTTTCTCGCGCGACTCTTTATAGAGGTCAAGTGCCCGATCAAGGCTGATACGTAATCGGCCGTTCACCGACACCTTGTAGTGCGGAGCAGGTCCAAATGGGATCTCCTTAAAGATCTCTTTAAGTGTGAAGGCCAATGACCGCTGAATCGGGTTAGCATTCGCATCATATCCAGACTACCCAACTGTTTCTAACTTACCATTGATGGGCCTAGGTGAGATATGAAAATAGTAAAAACATCGGCTGGAAGAAGCGTGGGCCTCGGTGTCGATTCCGCACTGGCATTTCGCAAAGAGGCACCTGGAGATGTTTCTTCTTCTGGCCGCTCAACGATAGGCTCCAGAAATGAGCCTTCAGGAAATGACCATGAGCGCTCAAGGGGCGTGAAGTAATCCGGATGGCTCATGAGTACGTTCTCTTCTTCCAGCGACCCAGACTCTCGGGCGATGGTTTCGCGGATCAAGCTGAACTGAAGAGAGGCCGCGTTACGCAAGCCTCCCATGTTATGCGTGATATCCTGCACCCAGCGGACCAGGTTTTTCTCAAGTCTGTATTCTTTTTCGGTTCCAGCCACATAATGCTCAAGTTTAGCTTCTCGGACAAGCCTATCGAGCTGGCCATATGCCTTTCGATGCCTAGCCTCCGCGTCAAGGAATTCCGCCGAAGAAAGCTCCTCCTCGGAACCACTCAAGAAACTCTCAGTGATAAGTGCCATCATGATAGCCAATGTATCGGTCACTGTGACAAGGTTCGAACGCAATTTTCTTCGTGCTGATATAGGAAATATGAAAAACGATACAGCCATGACGGCTACGACGCCCATGAGTACCATCTTCAAGACCTGGAAGATCTTCGCGAGTGACAAGTCACCATTTTGCACGGCGCCCTCTTTAGTCAAGACGGTGATTGTGGACAAAGCAGTCAACGAGCAAGCAACGTTCACCAAAGGATCTCCGAGCCGTTGCTTGGTCCAGCCGACAAAACCAAGTCCACCGCCGCAGAAAACAATCAAGACTACAGCATGACCGAGGACAGGCTGCTCCAAGACATCTTGGAAAAACATCTCCACGAACATGCTGGTAATGGTCAGGAACGCCGAGTAGCAAAACGCCAAAAACGCGCAGATCAATGCCTTCAACATCCCACCCTGGGATCTTGCGGGGTGAAAGTAGACAGTGACCGTTGCCACCATATGTTTTCCATCCTGGTGTCCCAGCAGAGACGAGATCGCGGGAATGAACGTCGCCAACGATCCCAGGAAGTACGCGAGACTGTACTTCAAGACCCCAATACCCGCTTCAGATCTGGCGAACTGATTCACCTGACTCCCTGCATCTTTTATTCGGCGTGATAGTGCCGCAAAGTACCCTTCATAATGGCTGGAGATTTCGTTTGTGAGGAGGCCGCGTCTTTCGTCATCATTCTCGGCGGAGGCAGCCACCGCGTTGCGCAGATTCACGAGGCCTTTTAGACGCTGGCCCGTTTTAGGGAGGACGAATGTTGCCTGACGAAGCTTCACCGACAGTTAGCAGGCGAAGACAGAGCGCCATCGGGCAGAGACTGCAAGTACATACCGTAGGGCGCGAGCGGCGGGAGCTGCTTGGAGTTCCGGACATGTTTTTTTTCTGTCCCCTTCAGGTTTCTTTCGGGTCCTGACAAGTCATTGTACGAGCCCCATGGTAAGAAGAAGATTGGTCACCCTTGCTCCAGTCTTTCAGACGTCAACGATCCTCGTGCGGAGGTGCAGAAGCTCTGCAGGTTAATTTGTTGGCTGGCTACTATTGGCAGCGGTTACGGCCACCCTCTCCACCCGCCATCTCCACGCACCTCTTTATTTACCTAGGTAGTCAAGTATATCGACGGTGCAGAGTACAGAGTACAGAGTAACTAGTTGGAAGGATAAAAATTTTCGAAACCCTCTGCAGAGCATATAGCTTTGGAACTGAACAATACCCTCCAAATATAAAATACATATACCGAGGCCCACAACATGTCAAATTCCTAAGGTTCATTGTTGGTGGAGCATTTGCTCGAAGCCAAAGACACCTTGAGGCTTCTTGAATCATTCATAGTAAGCTTAAATGGCTGTATGTAACATTTATTGCAGGCCTTCAACCTTCCAAACCTTCACTGCGGCATCAGCACCAGCTGAGATGATCTTAGAGCTTTCAGCGACCCATCCGACGCCATGGACACCCTCCTTGTGGGCGTTTTGCAGCTCGATCCAGTCACCTGGCTTGGCCAAGCTCCAAACGAAGATGTTTGTGTCAAGAGATCCACTCACAACATGTGATCCAGCTGCGTTCCAGGAAAGAGATGTAATTCGTGCCGTGTGTGCCGTCCAGCGGTCCGTCACCAAGCTGCCATCTGAGACCTTATAGACAAGGACACGTCCTCGCAAGTCACCAACGGCCAAGTGAGACGCGTCAGGAGAGAAAGCAAGAGAAGAGATAGGGTTGCGAGAGGCATTGATATCTGCCCGCGGAGACAATCTGGAGCTGGAGATGGCGCAGATCTGAACTGATCCGTTCTCGCCTCCAACGGCGGCCATAGTACCGTGAGCAGCGACAGTGGTGGCTGCAAAGTCAGTCTTGTAGTCTCCAGTCTTTTGTCCATCTTGGAAAATTTCAACGCTCTCAGACTCGCCGACAAGTACTATCGTGCCACCGGCTGCAACAGCCTTTGGCTGTCCGTTGAGCTTCGAAGCGCTGCCGGTGTAAGTCTTAGCAGTGGCATCGATAGAACGGAGAGTGTCATCCCAGCCGACACTGTAGATTCTACCAGATCCCTCTGATGTTGCCGCAAGCCCAGCGACGTAGCCAGGGTGGGCGTCTCCTTCGATCTCCTCGGCGGAGCCAGTGGCCACATCCCAATTGCAAACTCTTCCATCGAAGCTACCGGTCCACAGAGTCTCCTTGTTGTCAACGGTGGTCTGGTTCAATGAGGTGATGCTCTTCTGGTGACCTGAGATGACCTGTCGGGGCTTGGGGGTGCCTTCCACCAGATAATTCAGGTCTCCGCTCAGAGACAAACTGATGAGAAGGTCATCACTTCTTCCGTGGGGCCAGACCACACCGACTTGGTGGTCTCGAACAGCCATAGCACCCTCCTCTCCCAGGGTCCAGGTCTGTGTGGCTTTGCCAGCCTCCACATCCCAGATCTTGACAGTTCGGTCAGCACTTGCAGTCACGAACTTTCGTGAGTCCTTGGCCCATGAAACTCCAAAGATACTGCCGTTGTGCTCCCCTTCACCAATTTGGCTCTTGGTCTCTCCTGTCTTGCCGTCGTAGAGCCAAATCTTGCGGTCTGCGCCAACACTGACCAAGTGCGAGCCATCCGGACTGAAGCCAACTCCGTAAATATAGTTGGAATGCTTGTCGGCAATTCCGCTGTTGAACTTAAAAGGAGCACCGTGGTAGAAAACTGTCTTCCTGTCATCACCGGCAGTAGCAGCACGCAAAGGCCTCTGCTGCCTGATTGACACAGTGTTGAGTTGTTGTGTATGGCCGTGGATTTCACCGACAGTGTTTCCACTATCCCAGGTGATGCAGTGTCCATATCGCTGCTTACCGTCACCGACGGCAATGATGCGCTGGGAGTCGCCGTCCCAGGCCAAGTCATTGATCCGGCCGTTGACGATGCTGTATTCACCCTTGGTGATTCCGTCACCTACACAGTCCCAAACTCTCACGATTCCGGCAGCATCACCACTTGCGACGTAGAATCCAGATGGGGAGAAACGAGCGACGGTTGTCTGTGCCTTGTGTTCGGTGTACTGTCTGGCGACTGCGGGGTCATCAATTGAGCGCAAGAAAATCGATTTGTTGGACTTTGGATGACCGAATTAGGATTGAATCATGACATTTTATTGGCTGAGGTTCATGCACATACTGCGTAGGCCAATCGCTCGCCTTTGGCGTCAGAAGAAAGCTGGGTGGGCTGTCCGCGAGTAGTGGACGGGCTGGCCGCCCAAATAGACTCTTTGAAAGCTGTGAGAATCAAGAAAAGAGACAAGGTAACATTGTGGATCCTCACCGTTTGTAAGTGACATTGCTGCGGTGTGCACAAGCTTTACCAATGAGTTGGAGAAAGACGGAGGGGAAGTTGTTTATCGACTGACGTACTCGGGCCACAATAGCGGGGAACACAGCCACTCGTTTGTATACACAGTACTCGTACACACGTTTGAAATGTCGTCTACAATCAACTTGCGTATACTATAAGATGCAGCCCGCAGTTCGGATTATGTTAGCTATTTACATGTCCCTAATAGTGAAATCCTTGGATGAAATCAATGCATATCGCTAAGACTAATAATACACGAAGCTTGCCCCCTTCAGGCACAGGCCCGTACTTGTACAAAGACACGTTCTAACCAGTCTATATAGAAGACTGTACAAGTTGAAATTCCCTTCAGAAACCACTGAAACCGCCGGGTCCCTCCTGACGAGCCCGCATCTCGGATGCGAGGATTTCCGGGTGTCGGTGAACACTGGGCATAAGACCCATTCCAATGGCTCTCCGGAGTGCCTTGGCAATCTTGCGCTGGTTCACGGGTCGCAGACCGGTCTCTGTCCGGGGCTTGATACGGCCCATGTTGGTCATGTATTCGGACATGATCGCAAAGTTCTGTGAAAGAAACCCAGATAATCAGTACTGATTGCGAAACAGGAGTGTACCATGCAAGTCATGATAGGTTGAGCCTCGGTGGAATTTACCTTGTACATATCCAATGGCTTCAAGTTCAATGCGTCAAAAGCATCCGTGTTAGGGCTCTGGCGCTTTCCCCATTTCTTCATCTGGGTCGGGCTAAGATCGTGGGGGGCGTAGATGTCTCCGGCCTTGAAGTCGCGAGTGTGATATCTCTCAAGAGCTCGACTCTCGCTCTGCGCCTTCTGGTCCTCGAGGAACTTCCCGCGGTTGGGTATCCGACGTCGCTCCATGAATCTATCATCTATCATAGGATGTTAGCAAGTAATCCGGTGATCAGATCACCTCCACCTCCACAAGCAATTGCAGGAATAAAGTATTTTACCGGACTGGGATTCACTTACTCCGCGACTTCACGTCACGCTGCGAGGTGAAGGCACTCATGGCAGCAGTCGAGCTCCAACGGCAGGCCGAGAGTCCAACACTGGTGGTAGTTGTGGCATTGCGCAACAAAGCCGTTGAAGAAAGGATTGCGGAAGACATCTTGACGGTCAGATATCTAGCGACTGAAGATAGTTGCGCGAGATGACACTGGTAGGAAGCCGGAGCCAACGCGGAGTTGAGATCTTTTTTTGCCAAGACTTCTTCCCGCCCAGTCAACCTCCAGATCTCTCCGCGTCGAACTCCCTCTATTTCTTATCCATGCATTGAGAGCTATCTCAGACTGCGCACTCTTGCTTGCTCTTTGGTAACCCTCGTTCTGGGCTATAAGCTCGACTTCCGCCACCCATCATGCAGTCTCATCTCACGAGACGGGTCTTTCGCGCATTGATCAACAACGAACCACTCCGGTTCTCACAATGTCAACGAACTCGCCTTATGCATACGATTACCCCCATGCGGGTGCGTCCGACAGTGCCCGGCCTCTCTTATACCTCGCGACGCAACCTCTTCGCCTTCACAATGGGTCAAGACCCTGATCGGCGACCCAGCACTCTGCCCTCCGAGAAAGGCCTACAGCCAATGGCAGATTTATTGAGGTCTCTCAAGGATAGAAGCCGAGCACCTCCAAGCTACCTTCTTGCAAAGGCCTTTCAAACATTTTTCACGACGCGGCTTGAAACTCCTGGGGTGATTACTCACTTTCATGCTCGTACCTTGATTGTCACGTGGAAACACCTCAGGGCCCTGCAAGATGATTTGGATGAACAAGATTGGCAGAATATCTTCTCGACTGAAAACCTGGAAAAGATTTTACAGGTTCTCTCCGAGTGTGAATGTGTTCCGGAGGCCCGTGAGGCCGTGGTACGTCTCGCCCGGTTCGCATATCAAGAACTCAATCTTGATCACGGATTTGGTCCGAACAAAATCAGCCGACCGGCTCTCTCCCTTTACATAAATATTCTGGCTATGAACGGCAATCCCGAGGATGCTAGGCATACAGTGCTCAAATTCTGGAGCTCAATGAGCAAATCAAAACCGTCGCCATGGCTCACTGTTCTCAAAGGGTTTGCCATGAACAATGATCTGCGACAAGTTCGCAAGGTTGTTGATGAATGGGGAGTCCACGGCAACACATTTGACCAGCAGTCTCACCAGGAGATTATCGAATTCCTCATCGAGCACAACCAGCTTAACGCTGTTCAGCTTGTCTATGCCTGCCCAATTGCTGGCGGCATGGAACCATCTTTAGCTACCAAAACGGCAGTCATTGAATACTGCATTTTGAAATCGAATACGGACGCCGCAGCAGAAGTATTCGATTCCATTCACAACGAGCCTAGCGGTGATGTTGCTGGTATCAGTCTGCTTTGGGGAGCGGCAATGGGCGACAATGCTTCTGCTATTGCGCAAAAGGTTGAAGCGTGGAACTTGAAGTCCCCTGGTGTCAAAGATTCCATTACAATTGACATGGTCAACAAGCTTCTTCGATATGCTAACGCGAAGCAAAACCCGCAGTTGGCTTCGGACTTCATGTCCCTGGTGGCTCAATGGGGGCTCACACCGAATCACCAAACTCACATGCTGCAATTGGAGTCTCGCATTCAGGCAGGTGATGTCGAACAAACTTTGAGACTCCTCGAAGACAACGTTGACTCTGCCTCCCTTGCCGGTGATCATCTACCACTTGCCAATAAGCTCATCACGATGCTCTGTCGATCCGAGGAAAAAGATGGCCTATTCCATCAGATCTCGTCTCTTCTCGATCCACTCTTTGAAGACAATGTCCGGTTAGAGCCTGAAACCGTTGCCGCCCTGACACATCTGCTTCTCTACCGTAATGATCTGGATGCCGTCTCAGAGTTGCTTCGCCCACGACTGGGCACATATGAGGACAACCAGAAAGCGCCCATCCGCGATGCGGTCACATCTTTCATTTTGGACATGAGCCAGTCTGACACGGACGCGTGGAACGTGTACGAATTCTTGAAGGTTGCATTCCCATACACGGGGGTCGCAATCCGCACCAAAATCATGTCCGCGTTCTTCGAGCGCCAGCGCAGTGATCTTGCTGTTTTGGTCTTTGGACATATGCGTCAGGCTGATGAATTCAGCCGTCGTCCCAAACCCGACACTTACGCCCGTTGTTTCCAAGGCCTGGCTCGCACGGCTGATGCCACTAATTTGAAACTCGTGCACAACATGTTGAAGCTGGATATCGAAGTGGATCTCAACACGCGGATTCTCAATGGCTTGATGATGGCATATGCCTCATGCGAAATGCCAGAGCAGAGTATGGCGATCTTCCGCCAGATCCTTCTGTCTGATGAAGGTCCCTCACAAAAGACAATCACGCTCTTCTTCAAGGCCTGTGAGAAGCACCACAATGGTGCCCAGGAGGCGATGAAGTTGATGGCAAAGGTCAAGAAACTGGAGATTACCCTTGATCGTCCTCTGTACTCGGCCTATATGGAGGCACTAGCAGCGCAGTGCGAGTTTGAACTCGCCACCGATGCTATTAACAACATGCAATCCGAGATTGGGCTTCCCCCCACCAGCAACACGTAAGTACCCACTGGCTTGCACATAGATTGTGCGCTGTCGCTAACAGCCTTTCTAGAATCGGACTGTTCTACAACGCCATCCCGTACCAGTACTGGAAAGACGAGGTCGAGAAGTGGGCAAGTGAGAAATATCCCGAACATTGGCAGCACTTGTTGACGATGAATCGCACCGAGCACGAGGAAGGACCCAAGTTTGATGGCATCTCAAATGATGTTACTGTGTAATAATGCTTGTATAGATAGTCAATGGATGCGAATATTTCCATCTCATGAATCTGTCCTTCTAAAGTTGGAATCTGAGAGGTTCAACACCGATAGGCTTTAGGTGGTTATACCTTGGCATCCCGATATTCAATGTATGTTTTAGATCTTGAAAGTTTGGAAGGCAGTGGGCTATATTGCCCAGGTGATAATTTACAAGTAGATAGACTGACACCGCAGAAGGCAAATGATAATATACATTGATTTCTTGAACCAAACTTGGTCAAGTGACGCTTTCGCTTTTCAAAGGCCGCTGATGCAAAAGACTGCAAATAGTACAATATTTGAAAACCAAATATGCAAGAGAAAGGATCTAAAAAAGTCCAATATTCAAAGACTGAAGATTCCACTCCTCTTCTTTCCATTAGGGTAAACGATCAAGGCCGACACGAAAAGGCCAACCGAGATACCGATTGCAGTCTGAATCATACCGTAGCCCAGCGAGGTAAGCGAGTCATTACTCGAAGACCCACTATTGGTACTGGTAATGTTTCCAGACTTGACAGCCTCAGAATACTCCAAGCCAGAGATGATGGATCCACTGGAGGCAAGGCCAGAAGGCACCAGTGTGAAGATGCCGGGAATAATAGCCGCAGCGGCATGACCATGCCATACTCGACTGTATAAGTTGGCCAGAAGACCAATAGTGAATGCACCAATTGTGTTGGCAACTTGGTTGGCACCGAGTTTCTTTGTGCTGAAGTAATTGGCGACGTATCCGCACACTCCCATGGTGACAGTGACGGGGAGCTGTTTGAACTTGGATTGGTTGATCAGAGCGGCGAAAAGACAAAACAGAGCAACGAATGGGAAGCGTTGGATGTATTCGTTTCCCCAGACTTCGGGGAGACCAGAGCATGTTGCTGCTGCGGTTGCGTTTCTGTCCATTAGTCCATAGATGGTTGTGCCGACTGTAACGCCATAGCCCAGGAAGAGGGAGTAGATGATTGTGTAGACCATGCGGATGGATCCGGCATTCATCTGATGGGACTGGAGCTCGAGACTACTGCTTAGAACGGAGAATCCTGGAAGGATCATTGCAATGGATGATTGTGCCATTGCTGAGAAGCAGAAGACGGGAGAGCCGTTGTGATGGATACTGCCGAATGCACGGGCGAGGAAGGATGTCAGGATTGCAGCAGATACTTCGAGGACGTTCGAGTAGGTTGCTGAGCTAGGGGCGAGGACATGTTGCATCACGCCGACTAGACATCCAAGGATGAAGATGATAGGAAGGTCGACTGGACGTGCACTGAACGAGTAGGGACCAACAGCTACACTGGCCAAGCCGGTCAAGCATACCAGCATCCAACGATTGTAGCGCGGTTTCCGCTGCATGATTTGGTCCAGGTCTTGGGTTGCTTGCTCAACGCCAATGACATCGTGTACAACGTTCTTGTACACGTTATGGGTCTCAGCCAGCCGGGACAGATCTAGTCCCTGAATGACGCGAATGATTTTGACCTCCGCTGTACGAGTCAGGGGATCGTCAAATGACATGAACATACAACCGGGGATGTAAAGGAATTGCGCCTTTACCTCCAGCACATTGGAGGTCATCATCATATATTCCTCCAATCGGTGAGTCGGGGCGCCATATTTCATCAACGCCCGACATAGCTGCATAATGTACTGTTGGCGAGCAAGAAGTTGTGCAATGTGTACCGTGAGCTTGACATTCTTTTTGCTCTTGCGCTTTTCTTTCTTGCGCTGCTTGGCGTTCACAGGAGGTGGTCCTGTGGCATTGGGGACCCCGACTCGGCCCATGTCCATCGATGCGTGAATAAGAGAGGAAGTATAACTGTGGTTTGACTTGGTGGGTTTATGACCATTGTTATACCATTTCAATTTATCTTTCTTTCCACCCGGGGTTGCCGTACCAGACGGTGGAATAGACGGTGCCAACGTCTCCGTTTCCATGTCTGTCTCCGACGATGTCGAAACGAGACTCATCCTGCTCGCTGTTCGAACATTGTCGGCGTAGACACGAAGTAACTGTGAAAGAAGGCCACCTGGGGGACCACCAGTCGTTGCCATCCCCTCTGGGGTGCCTGGGGTTGTGGCACCTGAATGGGGCTCTTCAATCCGAGGTGGTCTTGGACCGGGCTGCAGGCCTAGTCGTTCCACCAACAGACGAGCTTGTGCATCGAAGTCGGTCCCGGGCAGCCGATCCTCCTCATCATTTGCTTGGCGAGCCTTATAGCTTCGGATATCGTCGGTTGCCCCATAATGCTCCGGCAGCATTGGGGAGTCCAAGCCATCTGCATCTCTCTCGGGAGGTCGACCCAGTCTTTCTGCAATGGTGGTAGCACGGTTCCGGATCCTCTGACTTGCAGTCCGCCAGCGTTGGGACGATGAAATGCTCCGACCAACACTGGCGTTCTCTGGAGCCAGTGTTCCGGCAGTAGTAGTTTCATCCAGAGTATGTCCCTGATCCGGTCCTTGGTTCCCCTCGGCATCCTCGACTGAGGAATGAGGAAGAGGAGGAAACTTCTCCGCGTCAGACATCTTGATCTCAAGTGGCCAAATTGAAACCCCGGAGGGGGTGGGTGGAAATTTCAAAAAGTGATCTTCTGGTGGAGAATGAGAATCTTGAGGGGATTGAGTGAGCTAGCCCTAGCTTGTACAGCAGCAGCTTGACACCCAACGATCCAGGTCAATACCCCACAAACGGTCAGACTTCATATTCCGGGGAGAAGAAAGAAAAAGAAAGACCCAAAGGGGCGGAACGGTCCTTTTGTTTGAGATGAGGAGAACCCTTCCTTTCATGGTTAGTATTGAGACCCACGCCGCTAAAGCGGGTTGAAGTCATAGCCAGATGGGCCTCGGAACGCGTCAGTCTGCCATGGGCGAGTTGGCAATTTCGAAACAGGATCCCGTTCCTGGACCTGGATGGAACTTCAGTCTCGTACTCGTATGATCCGTGATCCGAAGATGTCAGGCCATGCCAGCTCAGAGACTTGAGCAGGTTCTGTATACCCGTGGACTGCATATTGACTGAGTAATGCCCTAATTTCTTGCAGAATGCATTAATTTCATTAAATCCATTATTAATTTCACTAAAACCCGTCAAATCCCGCACAATCCACTTCCTCCGCTGAGAAACAAGCTTCTCCTGTCCTCCACTAACCCGCACTAACTGCGTGCTGATCTTGGTGGCTTCAATAATGGATTTTTGCGAATAACCCGATCAACTCGATATTGCCCCAAATCCCCCATTCACTGTCAATATTATAAAAAATAGAAAATAAATAACTTTAGAACCAGGTCACTTGAGATGCAAATTTTTCTCTGGTCTGGGCTGCGCCTCTGGGCTATTATTACCGGCAGTGGGCCTTTGGTCCACTTAGGGTCTTTGTGCCATTCTAATAATGTCCGGGAGGCTAGACCGGTACGGTGTTAGCCTGAGCGAGTCCTCGGATGTACGAGTATATAACCTGCTTTGATTTTGGGTCTCAGGTACGAATTTATGCAGACGTGGCACTACTTACTGTATGGTTCAGGGGTACCTAACGCATGACACCAAGGTTATGCTCAAGTGGTCGCAACTTCAGAACCTCCCAAAACCGCTCTTTGACAACAGTATAGATTAAGACTAATCCCACTAGCACCTGGACTTTGACCCCGCGTTAGCCAAGCACTTTGAATAGAACACGGTGGAAGTAAAGCCCAAAACATACATATCCGGTCTACCCGAAGTCCCGTAGAACAAGTAAACAAACGTCAGATCTACCCGGACTATATACAATACACGCGTTCAACCTTCCAATTCGCATGAATCGACAAAATCGCCAAAATCGCCCACCATGCCCAAGTACCCCCTCACGGCCCCCGCAATCCCCATAGCCCTACAAACAAGCCACCTCCTCTCCCCGCCTGCAGACCGCCTAACCAACACACCAACAACATTATCCATCACAAAAGAAAGCCACACAGTCTACGTGCATCGGCTACGCGCACACGAGCCCTCCAACAGCCCCGAGAAACAACTGCTCTTCACAGCCTTGGATAAGCAATGGCCAACAGGCACACGAGTAATCTACGCCAAAAACACCCCCGTTCTCGTCCTCAGACGGGCATGGTTCTCCGGTTTACGAAGGTGGGGGGTAAAATTACCTAAAGGGCAAGGCAAGGGGAAAGGAAGAACAGATTTACTGGATGCCTCGATGCCATGGGCAGATGGGAATCCAATCGGGGGCCGTGGTTTCAGACTTGATATGCGGTTTCGGAATGCCTTGAGCAGTCATCGCAGGAGGGCAACGGTTTCCACAGATCAGCCTCCCCCGTATACGAGTAACCGGGCTGGTCATGTTCCTCCAACAGAGCGGAGAATGGAACATGATCCTCGATTTCCGGATTGGGATGATGATGTTTGGTCGAGGAATGAGGCTTTGCCGGGTTACTCTGCGCGATTTGGGGGGAGTGCCCTGAGGGATTTATTGGATGCGGTTGAGTCGCCTTTGGATCCGGCGCCGGCATCTGTTTTGGAAATGCCTTCTAGGCGAAGTGTGGGGTTGGAGAGGGGGGCTGGGTCGACGGTTGAGCTGAGGGCGGTGCAGTTGGCATCTGGGACTGGGGTGATGTTGGGTAATCATATGGTGATGTACATCACGCGACACAATGCGATGGACTACAGCAAGTCGAAATCGAGATTGAAGCCGAGGTGGGAGGTGGAGGTTGCAGAAGGGGTGGATTTGTTACTGGTGAGTTCCTGTCTGGATAGACGGTTGAGTATCTTGCTAACTCTAGAGCTATTTCCAGGCAGTGAATGTTGTGCTGATTATGACGGAGGTTGAGTCGCCTAGATGATATGGTTAGATTTAGACATCCTATTGAAATAGAATAGAACTATAGACCAACAGCTCTATGATTTTCTCTACTATCAAGTGCAACGAAATATCCAACGGAAAGATTGCATTTCTAAAGGATCCCCGAAAGGTGTCTTATCTCTTTGAATGCCACTAAAACTTTTTAAACCATACATTCGTCAAGGAACACATCTTATGTTCCGAATTAGTAATATCGTTGACTCAAATCTCATCAAAACAAAATGCAAAGGTCCAAAAGCTTAAGCCTTAATCATGGACATACGCTTGGTCATGAAGTCGAAGAAAGAGAACTGGCTGGGTTGGTTGCCGTACTCGTAAACGAAGCGGCTGGCCAAGTAGCTACCGAAGATAGCACGCAGGTAGTTCTCGGGGACCTGGGAAAGATTAGTAAGGATTCTTGACAAAAGATTGAGGACAGGTTGACTTACACGTTCCAAGATAGTCTCAAGACCAATCTTGTCCAACAGACGACGGGGGAGGGCGTCACCAAGAACAGAGCGACGGAGAGCGACGTTGTCCCAAAGCTCGGTCATCTGGAGCTCTTCGTCAAGCTTGGTGATGGCCAGGCTGAGACGGTCACTGAGAACACTGCGCAGGACACCGGTGTTCTCGTGTTCACGCCAGATGGCCTCGAACTCGAGCGCGGCGTTCTGCTTGATAACTTCTTGCACCTCCTTGACGTAGGTCTGGTAGAACTCGGGCACGGTACCGTCTTCACGAATGCACATGTGCTCGACGAACTCCTCGTCGTTGAAGGAGAGCGACGCGAGAACCTCCAGGGAGGAGGAAGTCACACCACCCTTGTTGGCGGAGGCATCCTTGTACAGGATGCAGCCAGCCTTCTCGAGGCGGAGCTTGGCGTCCTGGGTCATGAACAGGTTGGCACCCTCCACGATGAAGGGAATGATGGACTTGTTGTCCTTGATGAGCTTGCCGACAGAGGACAAGTCAATGGACTCTGGGCGACCACCACAAGGGACAAAGACATCGAACTTCTCCTGCGAGCGGAGGTGGTAGGTGTTACGGAAGATCATTCCGTTGTGAACAACCTCGCCGCTGGGAAGCTTGATGTTCTTCTCGTCAACCAGGACGCGGTAACCATCGGCGGAAAGCTTGGACATATCAAACTCGGAGATCATGGCACGCTTCTTGGCCAAGCGAAGTAGCTCCTCGTGGTTGAGACCGTTGGGGTCGTAGATCACACCAGCTCCATCAACAATGGCACCGTACTTCTCGTTGGCGAGCAAGATCTCGTTGGATCCGAGATCACCATCGGGACCACCGGTCTGGAGCTTGAGCTGAGTAGAGGGGTCGATGTTCAGCTTACGCTGGATACCCAGAACGTACTGGCGAACGGAGAGTGTGGTCATGCCGTAAGCATCGTGGGGGATACCACCCAGCTTGGGGCTCTTTCCGGTGAAGAAAGACTTCCACCAGGGGGCGCCACGGCCGCGAGCGTGCTCGGTGGCCCAGTTGACGAGCTCAGCAGTGTTCTCATCGGGACCCATGAACAGGATCTCGTCCTTGCCGTGCAAGTCAACAATGGGATCCTTGATACCGGGGCTGACGGGAGGCAGGAGCAGATCAAGGATACTGTCGATGTACTTCTCGAAGGCGACCCGCGCCTTGTCCTGGTGGTCAGCATCCAAGAGGATAACACCCTTGGCACCGCCTTCGGGGATATCCTTGTTCTTGCGCTGTTGGGTGTTTGCCAAGTTGTAGTTCTCATCAAACAGGGAGCGTGCGTTGATGTTGTACGCCTCGCCGTTTCGGCTCTTAACGATACGGATACCACCACGGGCAATGTCACGGAAGCGAAGGTGGAAACCGCGGAACTCGGAACTGATGACCAAGAACATGCCGTACAGCGGCTGGGGGTATTCGTGCTCAGGCAAGAAGTCCGGCTTCAAGCGGAAGCTGAGTGCCACCTTGGTGGGGGTGAAGAAGTTGGTCTTGAGGATGGAGGAGTTGAACACACGGAAGGAGGTCATAACCATCTCGTCGTGCTCGTTGAGGGCGGTGCCACGAATCAATTGCTTGAGCTTGGCACTGTCGAGAACCTCATCGGTCTGAATGCGCAGGTAACTGAGGGTAGGGAGGAAGTCATCACTGCTGGGACCTTGGGTTTGAACGTAGTGGGTGTTGGCAAAGTCAAGGTAGAGCTTGTGGATGAGCTCGGGGTATTTGTTGATGATCTCAAAGATGTAATCGGCAGTGAAAGTCTCGGTACGCAGACGCTTCTTGATCTTCGAGAGCAATTCGGCGTGAACACTGTTGTTGCTATCCAAAAGAGCAGACAGAGATGTGTACTCTGATCCAAGACGGTTCAAGAATTGTTGCACGAACACCCACGCGCAGTGCGCGTAGATAGTCTCTTGCAAACTGAGACGACCGCTGGCAAAGTGGCCCTGGAAGCGGTTTTGGGGAATACAGTAAAGGAGTGAGATCTCCTTCATAATCTGGTGGATGGCAGCCTCGATGGGAGGGAACTTGGCCGAGATCTCGGAGTTATCCGAGGGACGCAGGTACAGCGAAATCACAGTGATTCCGTTGGAGAAGTTCTCCAGGTACTTGCGGGAGCTAGTCAAGCGGTAGTAGTGGTACAAGTCTGACAGGGCACTGAAGAATCCCATGGCGGATCCCTGGCGGTAGGCAATCACGACACGCTTCTCACGGCTGCCCTCAATCTCGAACATCTCAATGACGGGACCAGAGCGGGCAACAGCAGTGGTGATGATTTCCTGGTAGACCGCCTTGGTGTTGGGGGTGGCCTTCTGGAGGAAGCGCTTCTCACCAATGAGTTCGATGTTGGTCTCATTGGGTGAGGGGTTGGGCTCAACAAACTGGCACTTGTACACAAAGTAGCAACGGAGCTGCTGTCCGTTGTTGCCCGGCAAAGAGCTGGGAGAACGGAAGGTCTCCACACGGTAGCTGTTGGCGCCCTTGGAGTGGTTGACGTATTTCTCATCGATGCGCTGCTCATAGCGAGGGCCATCCATGGAAGAGATACCGGGCCTGCTGGTGTCAATGTACACAGCGTGGTCCTCGGCCTCCTTGTCCAGACGAATCTCCAATTGCTTATCATCGCGAGCGTATGCGGCAACCTTGGCGGCGTAAAGGGAGAGGATCTGAGTTACAATGGCATCCACGGACTCAGTCTGGAAGTAGGTGTCGTCAATGCCAAGCATGTTGTAGAACCAGGTAGTTTCGGAGATGACGAAATCACTAGGGAAAAAGCCCTTCTCTTCGAGCTGATCCATAACTGCGAGTACATTAGCTTTTTTGCCCTAGCCTCCAGTTTCAATGACACCAACCTTGTTCCATTTGCTTTTGCTTGCCCTCGAAAGTGGCTGCGATGTAGCCTGGGTCCTCTTCCGACAGCACACGGTGCTGCGGGGTACCGGGCATGCCCAAGTGGGTAGGCTGAGGGGAGGGTTGGCGTAGGGCATTTCCCACGGCGTGATCCAAGTGCTTGTTGTGAGGGGGGTAACGCTGGAAACCGATGGGAGTACCGGAGCCGGAGCTTCCATCCTGACTGGCGAAAAGCTTAGGCTGAGGACGGTTAGGCAAGCTCACGCCATTGCCATTGGACTCCAACGGCGGGGTTGAAACTGGAGAAGACATGATGTATGGTATAAGACAAAAATCTTAACACGTAAGAACGAGATGAGGGTTTCTTTAAAAGCATTAGCTGAGATGAATCATCGAAGTAGGAAAGCTTTGGGAAGATAAGGCGGGATTGCAATGCTCTTATCTCTGATAAGAAGCTGCAAGGGAGACGTACAATGAGAAAGATCTATCGTCGCCATGGACTCAAGATGTGAGAACAAAAAAAAAAAGAGAAGATGTGAAGCCCTATGAAAATCCGGGGAACCCTGGTTACTTTATACGACGAAAGGAGTCTCCTACCCATTCCATGGACTTCTGTATTTTTTGTTCTTCTTTTCTATTATTACATATTATGTCCCGCAATGGTTAGTCTCGACCAGTCATAACCGATTCTAGGCGGAATGGTCAACCGTATACAGCATTGTACGCGGAGTCTGCCCAGTTTCCATTAGCTCCACTTGGGAAACGCTCACTCCCTTTCCACTTTTGACTAACAACCGGCGATAGGCGCCATTGTGATTGGCAGTTATCGCCCCTCCTTCCGAGCTGAAGCCGAGTGCACTGAGGAAAAAAAAGGCCGCTGCGTCATGCGGGCCGAAACAATTGCCTCAAGTCTGGAACGTGGCTACGTGGGACATTGTACAATACAGTGAAGTTACAACCTTGGAGACAGGTACAGGGGCAAATGGGCAGGTGACTCCAGTCACCTGAGCATGTGTCTTAGAAGCTCAAAGCAAGTATGTCCACGGGTATTGCCATAACTTAGTTAGGTACGGAGTACTATGAATACAATACAGAGTACTGCGCAATAACGCAATAACGCAATACTCTGGCCCATGTCAATGTGGAATGCAATGTGTCATGAATCTTCCGAATCTGATCACGAATTTTCAATCTCAATGCTAAATGCCTCAATTACGTTCGATTAGTTCCAGCCATCTCCCCCAGATTGAAAATGATCGCCCCGAGTCCGCTTGTGTCCGCCTGTGTCCGGGGGATTTTCGCCATCGCCGGGCCTTGGGACGAGTGAAGAAGACCCCTAACCAAACTAATGACACGACAATTGACCATGGTCGCGAAATTCACCCGGCCCGGTGACCGTAGGATATATCCCCCCATCTCCAACCGGAGGGGCTCTGGTACCTGGATCGTCGACTTGCGGGGTAACATTCCATCGTCTGGCCCTCCCCCTTCGATCCCATCGTGCACGTTTGAATGGTCTCGTGCTGCCATTCGTTAGAAATAGCGCACTTGGCTCGTACCCCAACAATCGTGGTCATATTTTTCACGCAATCCCAATCTTTCCAAGGGCCTCCGGCGGGGCCTTTACGTGATAGCGGACTCTGACCGGCTGCGATGGAGATGCTCATT